CCGGATGAACGATAGTAATAAAATAACGTTAATTTCTGAATCCCCACCAGCTTCAGTCACAACATAAAACCATAAGTGGTGCACCTTGCCTCAATCAGCCACATTTTTCCCCTCAATTATATCGATCGCTCCTGTCCAAATTTCGATCCAAATTACGCTACAATTATTACATTCCTATGTGCTGCAGTTTATATAACCTATTGGGGTAGACTGCTTTAAGGAGTCTGAAATATTATATTGCATTTAGCAGCTCAAACGTCCTGCGTAGTACTACTTGCTTGAGCACAGGAAGAGATGTTGCCCCCATGAACAAGCAGCCCCCACCTCGATAACATTGCCACTTTGCTGCTGCTTGAGCGCACAATTACTGAACCAAACCAAGCAACGGTACAAACTTACTTGCATTGTCCTCGTGTTTTAAAACTAAACCTACTGATGCTCTGAATATGCAACGAGTATAGAGGAAGGCTCAGTTTAAGATATAGGGGAAAAAAACCTAATATTCGGCATCACCGAGGTCAGGGAGTTCTTTGAACCTGACGTAGAGTCTGGCGGCACAGCCAGTTCTCACCAGTCACTGGAGAAAGACATGCGCAGTTTTTTCTACATTGATACATCATCGCAACATCACGTAGCCAATGTAGTAGCTAAGGCTCGATCGCAGCTTGAAGTTGCAACGGTAGTGCTGATCTAGGCTTGTAGCATCGCTTAGTGACAGCAGGACCTGAGGCTTGTAGCATCGCTTAGTGACAGCAGGAGCTGCGGCTTGTAGCATCGCTTAGTGACAGCTGGACCTGAGGCTTGTAGCATCGCTTAGTGACAGCCTGACCTGAGGCTTGTAGCATCACTTAGTGACAGCAGGAGCCGAGGCTTGTAGCATCACATAGTGACAGCAGGAGCTGAGGCTTGTAGCATCACTTAGTGACAGCAGGAGCTGAGGCTTGTAGCATCGCTTAGTGACAGCAGGAGCTGAGGCTTGTAGTATCACATAGTGACAGCAGTAGAGGTCCTTGTGATTAAAGCGATATATTTTTTATATATAAGAAACACGATAACACTTTTATCAAGTCAGTTATCTGGTTGAAAATCATAACGAGTAAGATAAATACAAGGTCACAGTACACAAAATACACTCCTCAGGGGCTTAGAAACGCATGCTTCATGCTGACACTGTCACCTGCATTAACCCCATGCTGTTTTCTCTTACATAGGTCCAGTCACACAAAAATCTTGGCACATTCTCTAAATTGCTTTAGCAAAATGTAATTGTTATCACAGTAGTCTACGTCCTCGCCTCACAAAACTAACGATTGCTCAATACAAATTTCAGATTGCTAAACAAACCTACAAATTGCCCAACAGAAGCTTCAAATTGCTCAATAAAATTACAAATTCGCCAACAAAAACTATAAATTGTCCAAAAATTACAAATTGGCAAACAAAACTACAAATTGTCCAAACAAACTACAAATTGTCCAACAAAAACTACAAATTGTCCAACAAAAACTACAAATTGTCCAACAAAAACTACAAATTGCCCAACAAAACTACAAATTGTCCAACAAAAACTACAAATTGCTTAACAAACTGTAAATTACCCAACAAAAAACTACTAAACACCGAGCAATAAACAACTCATACAACAATCAGTGCTGTCACCTTACGATATTTTTATTTATTACAACTTTGAATGAAAATGTACCGTTTGTACCGTGAAGTACTTCAAAATGTTACCATTTTTTTTGTAATTAAAATGATTACCAACTGTGATAATTCCTGTTTGTTTCTCCCAACCTATCATAGTCTTTTGTCTAACTTTTTAAAATATTCCAATATCTGTATTTCAGTTTGTGAGTCCACAACCTACCAGGAGGACCCAAAACAGAAAACGGGACAGTATGTCAATTTCGCGACCATTTTCTAGTACGACGATTATTGGCCTTAATTAAAGCATGCGTCAAAATGCGACGCTTATTTATGAGGACGGGTTTTCCCAGAACTAAGTCAGCTCTCATACCAGGAAATGTTTGAGGGCTTCAGGAAAAACTAGACATGTTCTTATCTAGGCCTTTAATAATAAATATTGATGTGTGTGAAAGAATCAAATTACAGATCAAAACCACTATATATTCTTATATTAAATATTTTATAGTCACTAATTACGCCCATCGTTTCCCGCGTAACTTTAGATAATGAGTGAAATGGGTTTAAAATTTCTGAATACAAGAAGTAAGTTTATATATGTGAATGGTTAGTGAAAATGTAGTAAATGATATACAGTTTCATAAAGTAATACTTAATTATGAAGCCATAGACTACTTAAATTTAGATTTTGTAAGCCTTAGAGGTAACTATGATACAGTATTTAATATTCACAAAAACAGCGAACACAAATTTATAATGAAATGTATGAGAATTATGTTACATGATGTTAATTAGGTATTTCTTTGTTTCTTTGTTACATGAGGGCTACTATCTCTCTCTAGTGGCCTCGACGGGGACAGGAAGCCGGCGGCCTGTAAAGGGTCCATTTGTCCTGATGATTTTTCCGAAATGGATTTTGAAATTCAACAACGTTTTGGCATTTGCAGTTACGGCGAGTAGGCGGTTCCATGGGTTTACTACTTCATTGTATCCAAGCATGGAGACCTCATCTTAGAGAAGGACATAGATGGTTTGTAGACAGTTCAACACCGGGCAACAAGAATCACCCCAGAACTAAGTCAACTCTCCTATCAGGAACGGTTGAGGGCCACACGGCTGACAATACTGCAGACCAAGCATGACAGGGCTGATCTCATCGAATCAAACAAGGAGCAACTGTTTCAACCCTGTGGGTGAAAAAGCCTCTCCTGTATAGTGTCCTACATGGTGGTTTGTTGAACTTTTTAGTTTAGTTCATTTATTATGCACCCATATCCATCTTGTGGAACTTGAAACGTTGCTCCTTGTTTGTCTTGATGAGATCAGCCCTGTCAGGCCTGATTTATCATTTATTTATTTATTTATTTATTTATTTATTTACAAGTGATCAACAAGAGGCTCACAACAGTCACTATACAAGGCACTTTACATCTATGGCACTAGGTAGGAAGCGTTGAGTCACAATAACGTGGCTGAAGTATGTTGACCAGACCACACACTAGAAAGTGAAGGGACGATGACGTTTCTGTCCGTCCTGGACCATTCTCAAGTCAACTGTGATGACTGAAGATGATTGATAAAGATTAAGCCACCCAAGAGGTGTGATGATTGAAGGAGAAGACAATAAATAGGCAGAAGAGAGGTGAGGAGAAGAAAATCTTGGAGGTCTATCTTTTTTATCTATCTAACAAAGAATCAATTGTGACACTAGCACTCCACATATGTCAGTTGCTTAATTTAGAAACTGTACTTGTGGTTGGTCTCGCGCCCATTGGTGATGTGACGATGTGTATTAAATTTTGTAACTAGTTCATCAAGACTGCAACTTCCTTAGCTAAATGAATTGTGATGTTCAGTCCCTGAGCCCATTATGTGCCTCTGTAACCCTTCCCACTACCTCCCACAAGATGGGTATGGGGTTCATAATACACGAACTAACCTAACTTGTCTCCTGGTACAAATTAAAAATCTGATATATTCTTTTTTGGGGGGGTTCCGCGCCAGCTGGCCTGGCGATTGGGGGGTGCTCACCGGAACCCCCCAAAATAATATGTTCCACCTCTGGCAGTATACGCTAATTGCATAGTTTAGTTAAAAATACCCTAACTCATTTACACTTAATTTAATTACAAAATAGTGTAAGGCTTATAAGGTTTAAATTATCTCTGCACAATTGAGTTGCAGCTGTACTTATAGGCATATGCAAGTCAACTAAGCCTATCTAATTTGTACTTAGTAACAAATAGACTCTCCTACTTGTAACTATTTAAATAGTTACTTTATGTTACTTACTTTATTTTACTTAATGCTACTTTGTTATTTTTGTTACTTTGTTACTTTCTACTGTGTTCTTTATGTAAGTTACTTAGTTAAATATATATTGGTTATCATATCTGTTATGAAACTTATTTTACTTAAGTTTACTTGTAACTTTATTGTAAGTTTTCTGCAAGTTACTTAGTCTATATAATATTACCATATTTGTATATGTACTTTATATTATGAATTTTTACTATTAAAAGTCCCAATCTATGGCGTGTTTCCTTTAAGCTCAGAAAATTCTGATTTCAGTTAAAAGTTTTAGTATCCATTTTAAACAATGTTGACCATCAAAGAATAAATTTTGGAGAGCATCTGTGCTCGGGCTTCTTGCCCATCCTCTTGGGCTGGACGGTAGAGCGACGGTCTCGCTTCCTGGAGGTCGGCGTTCAATCCCCGACCGCTCTTTGTGGTGCGAGAACACTCAAGGATAATCCTCAAGGTTTCGTTCTGCAATTTTTTCAAGCCCTCCAAAAGCTTTCTTTCAGGCACTAAGACAAGCACAAGAGAACAGTGAAGACAATATTATTATTATTATTATTATTATTATTATCTTATATTGTTATTATTATTAATATTATATTTTTTTTAAATTGGAAGGGAGTACCAGCTCTTGCTGGAAGAAGGGGACCCTTAGCCTCGGAGGAAACCACACATAACTCATTAGAGGGAATGTTTAGGTCCCCTCCAATACAGTTTCTGTGTGCTTTTCTCATACCTACCACCACCCTTCCTTTTGCCTTTTGTTGTGCTTTATTAGATATTTGGATGTTACAAGATTTACATTGATTAATACAATGTGTTGTATTATACTGTATAATAATATAATATTATTATATATATAGGGCTAAAAAAATATCCTAATTTTACACACTATAATTTTTAAATATTTAAGTTTTATTTGATTTTTCTTTTGTGTTGAATGCCTATATTGTAAGACATTTATGTCCTGAACATAAATATTTAGGTATACCTCATTAATGGAGTAAAATTTTCAATATTTTTTATTGTATGTAGGTATAAACATTTACACGTAGAATCCCTGACTGAGACGGTCGCTCAGCCAATCAGCGCACCAGCACAGCTCGACGGAGGCGCGAGTGGTGTCTGGTGGTCAGAGCTGGTAGAATTTTTTTTTTTCAAAAAGTTAATTAGAAATCTCAGGTAACGGCATGTTTTATTGTTATACTTTATTAGTGTGCCCAAAAGGTCGAGTAGTTTCCAAGTCTTATATTGAAGCAACGTAAGCCAAGCAGGCGGGTGTCTCGCATTATTCTTCGCTGCACCAGTAATATCCAAAATGGTCCCAGAGTTAAACTGAATAACCTAGACATACTAAAAAGAATGGTCCCTCAATTGGCAACTAGAGGTCAACTTAAGTAAGAGCACAGTGAAGCTGGGTACTGTACTCATTTAGTTGTGCTTCCTGGGGTTGAGCTTCGGCTCTTTGGCCCTGGCTCTCAATCTACTGGTGTACAGGTTCCTGAGCATATTGAGCTCTATCATATCTACACTTCAAACTGTGTATGGAGTCAGCCTCTGCCACATCACTTCCTAATGCATTCCATTTATTAACTACTCTGAAAAAGTTTTTTCTAATGTCTATGGCTCATCTGGGTAATCAGTTTCCACCTGTCCCTCATTGCGCAAGTACCACCTGTGCTAAATAATCTGTCTTTATTTACCCAGTCAATTCCCCTGAGAATTATGTATGAGGTGATCATGTCTCTGCAAACTCTTCTGTCTTCCAGCAATGTGAGGTACAATTCACAAATACCTAGAGGGTGCCAGGAGTTCTTTTTCTCCCCGAGCCCATCCTGGGGCCAGGCTCAAATAGCCTTTATTAGTAACTCATACCTCTTAGTTCTGAGACTAGTCTAGTGGCTTACATGTGAACCCTCTCCAGCTTCGTCTTAGGTTTGACAAGGTATGGACTCCAATCTGGAGCCTCATGCTTCAGGGTTGGTCTTACATAAGTTGTATACAAGGTTCTAAATGATTCCTTACAAGGATTCCTTATACTGTGAACAAGAAGCTGATATAAGATGACATATGGAAGGGAAAACCCTCAAGGAGGCAGAAAATTATTTTGGTGTTGATATTCCAGTAACTTTTTAAAACCCTGTTTCTAGTGTGGTTAAAAAAAGGGCTAGTCGTACTATATTGTTACTATTTAAACAAACCTAATCTAACCAAGTTAGTCTATCCCAACCTTGTCTAGTTTAGTCCACCCGAACCCAACCACACCTAATCTACTGTAACATCATACCATAAGAATAAATTTATGTAATTTCTGCAACCCATCCTCTTGTTTAAATAATACTTTTTTAATTTTGGACCGTCATACATACAGTATACAATACTGCCGTAATGAAGAATGAGAAGAATTTGGCACTATTCACTGTATAGAGTCCAGAAAAGTGAATCTAAAAACCAAACTTAAATATTCCTAGGCTTAGTATAGCATATATATGTGGTATATTAGGCCTCAGATAGCATGTACTGTATTAGGATGGTAGGTTAGGTTAGATCTTATTAGCAACATAAATATCAAACCTTTTCCATTTTTCCAAATTCTACTTTCTAATTGTCCATTATGTCAATATGTTTACAACGGTCCACATCATTATTAGTATAAGTACAGTACTATCTAAACAGGATGATGAGCTGAATTTTTGTGCAAGGTGTGTGACATCATTCTGATATATTATTGTTGCATCCTGAGATTTTTTTATACTGTCCTAGTGATAAAAGAAATTTATTTCCCTATTCCAGTACCCAACCTTAATGTTATTCTAATAGTTTTTCAATCTGTAATATTGAAATTTACCTACTATCTTATTTACCTATCTTAAAACTTATTCATATGTAAAAAAATTTGCAATTACTACCTTTCACATGTCTATTACAATATATCTCTAGTTTTAAGTCCCTGTGGCACAGTGGTAACACACTCGCCCCCCGCTTCGTGAGCGATTTGGCCTGGATTAGTATCTTGGCCAAGGAGGATTAACTAGGCTCCTCCTTAGGATCCTCCTTAGCTGTATGCCTCTTTTCACCTAGCAGTGAATGGGTACTGGGTTGTTAAACGATTTAGCGGGTCGAATTCCAGGCAAAATTAAAATTACAGACCTACTCGAAATACTGTGCATGCTAATGACTTTACAAGAATGTAAGAACTTTTGTACTGTATATACTGTATAAATAGAAAAAGTACTTTAACTCTTGTATTGTGCAAGAGTTACGCAAGGTATTATTTATATGTGCACAGAAAATTAGTACTGTATTCAAAACCAAGATTTTCATCATCTTATGTTGTTAAAACCATGCCTTGAGCATAGGAAAAAATATCCCCAAAAATCTTCTCTTTTCAAGATGTTAGAAGTATACTGGAGGCCTCAATTACCAATTGGTAACACTATACCAGTGAAAATATCAAATGTTGTAAAATACAGTACTGTACTTAAAAGTTCTATAACATCTTATGATGGGATGTGTTAAAAAGTTACCAGTTAAAAATCAAGTGATGTTATGTGTAGTACAACGGCTAAGATTGAATGTACTTGTGTTAACTTTTAAAAATTGCTCAAATATGTTGTTATACAGTGGAACCTCAATTGACGAATGCCCTTTTTTATAAATTTTTTGGTTTACGAGCTCAATTTCTTCATAAAATTCATCTCGGTATTCGGGTTTGTCGATACATGTATGGGTCAACGAGTGCGTGGATCTGCTGGGAGCGTGCGAGGTGCACCTCAATTTACCAGTGTATTCCGTCTAGTGACAATTGCGCTTGAATTCTTTGTGAAGAATTTCATTGTTTTTTTGCTTTTTTGGTTTCTGAACATAAAAGTTTTTATTATATATCATGCCATGGGTCCCAAGAAAGTCAGTGGTAAAGTTCAACCTAAGAAAGTAGTTGTGAAGATGATGATAGAGGAAAAACGAGATCATTCATAGTGAGACAATGTGATGTCTCACTACAGATAAATGTTAAATGTAGGGAAAACAAGTGTCTATAGACAGATTTTTAGTAAGACAAGCAAGCAGTGAGCCACAGCCAGGTCCTAGTGGTATGCCTGCAAACCGTAAGAGAGAGAGAGAGAGAGTACCCCAGAAATGTTATCTTTGCTGTTATAATGGAAGGGAACTCCCTTTCCAAACACTTGTCCTCAATAAAGGTAAGATATACTCTAGTACAAAATATGAGTAGTATTCTGTATAAAGTGTATTTTTAAGTTAACATTTTTGGGTGTGTGGAATGGATTAATTCAATTTACATTATTTCTTATGGGAAAATTTGTTTTGGCTTGCAAATTTTGGGCATACAAACATTCTCTTGGAACAGATTAAATTCATAAACGATGGTGCCACTGTACAAAATATATCTAAATACAGTAAATAAAAAATAGCACTGACATATGCCAAACACACCATGCTTATTGATATCAGATTTTAAATGACAACTTCTTGCGAAATGGTTCACAAAATGTGGGTGTCTGGTTTGCTAGTTTTCAGACATATGGGAGTGTATTTGCTCAATATTATTCTAGTTTGTTAGTACAATACAGTATCTGCTTCATGGGCATATGTTCACAAACCTCAATGTTCACCTCGAGCTGTAGTTGTATCACATGTAACACAGTCTCTTCTACAGGCCATGCGACGTTATTGGTCGGCCCCTCTGCATGGGGAGTACTCGGCACATCCATATTCTGCAAGGGACCACTACACGAATCGTCCACATTTACACCATCAGTCTCACGGTCCCTCCTTGCTTGGAATATATCCACCAAGCATCTCTATACAGTCTGATGGTCGCCCCTACTTTGGAACACACCAACAAAGCAACTCCTATGGTCGACATTGTGCTGCACCAAGAGACCAGCCATGGAATGGAACCAGAAATCATTATAACCTTCCTAATAACCCATGGCAAAGAAATTACACTCAGGACATAAGTGAATATTATAAGAATGCATACAATAATGAAAGAGTGGCGAGTAATAATTTCCGGATGTACACTGAAGAAACAACAAGAGTTACTTTGAAGAAACTCCCATTCTTTGATGTCATATCAACGTTATTGGAAGTTGATATAAGTAACCAAGGTAAAAAGTTGAATTTTCCTATATTTAATGACAATATTTTCAGATTAGTAAATAGTGATGGATTTTGGTCATTTGCCTGTGATTGGATCCTGGTGCAATATGCTGTACTATAGTATTTAACTCCTAAATAAAATCCTTTGTATTATTTAGTGACAAATGCTCTCGAATTAATGATTATGGGGGTGTAAGCTCCAGCTTTTAGGCACCGCCTTTCAGCCAATTATACCTGGCATACTAATTACATTTCTTGATCAAGGTTATGATATTTTTGTGAATGAAAGTGGCTTCAACAACTTCCTTCATTGTATTCTACATATTGACCACACATACATAGTACTGTACTGTATAAGAATTTCTTTACATAACTACAACTGAATAGACATCCAGATTCATTCACTAGTACATCCAGCTTCCACCGATGTCCTCATATCCTTTCATTCAATTTAAATACCTTGTAGACTGCTCTTGTCGACATTATCTATTCCTATTGGAGTATCTTGTATGTTATGATTATATTCCCTATGTTTTTTCTCTTCTCTAAGGTTCTGAGGTTGAACCCTCTCCTTTCTGATATAACTATTTGCAAACCTCTGTACTTTCTCAAGTATCCTTTAGTTTTTTCATGAAGTGTGGGTTCCATGCTGGTTCTGCATACTCTTATAATGGTCTCATATAGACAGTATAAAAGGATTTGAAAGTCTCCTTGTTTTGAGTCGTAAGTGCTGTTTTCATGTTTGCCAGCTTCCTGTATGCTGCTGACATTATCTTATTCACATGAGCTTCTGAGGCTTGTGTTGTAATTATATCCATTTCCAGTTATTTTTATCTTATTGTTCCCTATATGTCTCTTATCTTCTTTTCCCATCTTTATTTCCATACAGTTACTTGGACTGAATTCCAACAGCCATATATATATATATATCTGCCCACGTTTGAACTTTGTCAGCACTCTTCTCATTAATTTTGCATCATCTACAAACATTGATGTGAGATAACTTGTAGAACATTTACATAAATTGAAAAGAGCAAAAGTCCTAAGACAGAGCCCGGGGAAACCCTACTTCCTGTCCCTAACTGGCCTGACATCCTCTGGCTATGAACTATGTTGTATGTCTCAGGTACTCTCTTCCACAGGTCAATATCTTTAGTGCTATCCATGCTTGTTTCTCCCTCTTGTGTGTGAACATTTATGAACATCTGTATCAAAAGCTTTCCAACTGTCTAGAAGGATGTAGCCAACCCATCCATCATGTTCTTGCCCTTTGGTGATTCTGTCATAGGATTGAGTCAGGTTGTCATAGGATTGAGTCAGGTTGTCATAGGATTGAGTCAGGTTGTCATAGGATTGAGTCAAGTTGTCATAGGATAGAGTCAAGTTGTCAAGCATGATTTTCCATTTCAGTCTTGTGTTATGCCCCATTACAACATTATAATTTTCAAACATTCTGCAGTGTTTTCCTGGTTACCTTTTCAAGTATTTTCTGTGCTAGTGATAGTGATCTATATTTTAGTGCTTCATGTCTGTCCCCATTCTTGAGCATTCTGTCCGAAACGCTGTGCATACTAGTGGCTTTACAAGATTGAAATTACTATGCTATGTATCCTCAATCCCAATGTATCTTCTTGTATATATATAAATAAATAAATAAATAAATATTAATTAAGATATTAGGAGACATTTGCCTTTTTCTAAATTTCTAGAAGTTTATCTGTCTTGTGTTCTGTTGAAAGTTCTAGTTTATGGGTAACTCAAAATCTCTCTATATATTTTTTTTTTTTTTTAAGTAACCTTTTTCTTGGAACAGATTGACCATCTATTCTAGCCCTATTCTTGCTACAGCCATTTTCTCCTGGTGTCTTTTTACCTCTTCTACAGTATGTATCTTTGATTCTGTTAAGTGTTACATCTAACCATCTGTTGTCAGCTCTCCTTCGTGTTTCTACCTGTCCTCACAGCCTGAACACATGGTCTCAGACGGCTTAGGCTCGTGTTTTGCTTTTGTCACAGTGTTGTTTAGAAATTACTAACCTGTATTCCTCCATTTACAGGAATGCCAGTGGCACATTACAAATTTACTATTACGGCAGATAAAGCCAATTATTTCAAAGATAAAAGGTCAACAAATCCATACCAAGTAAGTAATTCAGTATCTAGTATATAAAATTATCTTCACTGTACTGTACAAGGTTTTCTGCTGTCTCATGCAGACTGAGGGCCAGCTGTATTTATAATAATAATAATAATAATAATGTTTATAACATAGCTGTTTTACATAGAGATGTGCGGGATGCACGTGCACAATACTGGGGAAGAGGGAGAAACATATGAATCTAATTGTTGTGCATACGCAAGAGGAAAGGATCATATCAAACAGTAATACTGTACACTGAAAATTAAATTGTAAATATAAAAATTAATACAGTAATACTTTTTAGATACAGCTGAGGGTATGCAAGCCTGATTGTACCAGTGAACAGACGGACTACTTTCCTTCCCTCCTACAAATTGCCGTCAATGACATAGTTTGCAAGTTGCCAGTAAGTACCAAGTTGGATATTTTCATAAATCAACATGTGTTATATTTTAGCATGAAGAAACTGTGTTTCAGTATGTAAGTTCTTTTCTGGGCAGCTACCTTGGTAACTTCCCCAGCCTGGTGCTCCAACAACACCTGGACACTGTTGCATTATGCAATGAATTACTTCTCTTGTCCGCTGGGGACAAGGAACTTTTCAAATGTCGTACAGTATTGTTCCCTCAAAGACGCATGGAGCTTGTGGAGATTAGAGATCATTTACACAGGCAAAATGCCTGCTATAACCAACTGGAGCTCCTTTTGAAAATAGCTTGGCAACATTATGATACCGAACAACCTTCTGAAACTAGCGAAATGCCACCAAGTTCATACATAACAAAAGTAAAGTCAGAGATTATGATGTAATTTGGGTTTATTATTAATTTATCAGCCCATTCTCTCGATTTGCCATAATGTACAAAATTCAACATCCTATCCTAACTAGAAATGCATGAACTGAAGCCACACACCTAACCTAATGATCATTGTATAGAAAACATTGATTTTTGTGAGCTGCTCCTTCAATTTGTTCTCTTCAACTGTACATCACATTTTGACGTGTAAATCCTCAAAATCAAAATATGATGTACAATACTATAAATCATAGTTGCTTGTGAAATTGATGGGTTGTCCCATATTCTATTTGTGGGTTCTCGGGTTAGAACCCACAAATTTATTTGGTTAATTTAGTACACCTTTTTTTTGATGTAACAATTCAAGAGAAAAGCCTGGCTGCTTTTCATAATACTGTACTGTACATTGCATTTGGTACATTGGTTACCATAACGTCCTATTAGTTGAGAGGACAGGTTGAATTAATATATAAAGTACAATACATGTGTTTCATTAATTTTATTTCTATGGCATTTGTTTCTGTCTACCTTGGTCATGCTTACATAACATACAATATATTGCACAAAGAAATCACATTAACGTGCTGTATCAGTGAGAAAATCAGTAGGAGCCGTGAGGAGGATACGAACATATGCTCTGGGTATTACCAAGCAAGCACCCCAGACCACTACACTGTGACATAGTCAAAGGCATTGCAACTTGGGATTCATCTGAACCCTCTAGGGTTCCTGACGCTTACACTGAAGCCTGACTAGGGTTTCACACAATGCCCACCATGCACCCTGGCTGTAGTCTAGGAATTCTGCTTCTTACACTTCTCTTCAAATGCACAAAAAACTCATTAATGTGATGTATCAATGAGAAAATCTGTAGAAGCTGTGAGGAAGATTCGAACTTATGGTCTGGGTACCCCCCCCCCCCCCCCCCCCCAAGCCAGTGCCCTGGACAACTCCATAGACTAATGCCCCGGTCTAATGATTCGCATATTAACCCGATAGCTCCAGGGAGCCTCCGGGGCTCATCCGGAAAATGGCGTTTCATTACGTTCAATTCTGTTTTTTTAGATAGACTATTTAAGTTTTGATGCATTCCATATAGTAAGTTTAATACAATACAGTACAATATGTTGAATTTCACCAGTAAACAGTTTGTAAATTTTAAAAAATCTGACCAACTATCATTTTTCAATGTAGCTAAATATGTAGTTTTTTCATCTGCCAATAAGCTCTGAAAGATGCTTATTATATGTTTTTTATGTAATTAAGGTACAAATGAAAGTTAATAAAAGATGCCTTTCATAACCAGGGCATGCAGATGGTGCCGAGAGGTCCAGCAGGGCCGGTGGAGATCACTGACAAGTGTAATTTGTATATTAATAAGGAAAATAAAATAACTGTAAGTATGATAATCATCTTTCTATAAATTGTGTGCATAATAACCCCAAAATTACAAGAATAATGTATGCATAATTTGATTGTGGTGGTGCTGACACTTGGTGTTTTGATTTTTATTATTTTTTACTGATAGAGTATTAATTTGATTTAACTACTATTTGGGACTATTCCATGCTTGTTAAATCTGGGGCTCTGCTAAACCCTGAGCTTTTGAAATGTCAAAGTTTTGGTAACTTATTAATGCAGTAATACTCAGGAAGGCAACAGGCTAGATATTTTTTTTTTTTTTTTTTTTTTTTTTTTTTTTTTTTTTTTTTTTTAGATATATACAAGAGTTGTTACATTCTTGTACAGCCACTAGTACGCGTAGCGTTTCGGGCAGGTCCCTGGAATACGATCCCCGCCGCGAAGAATCGTTTTTACAACCAAGTACCCATTTTACTGTTGAGTTAAACAGAGGCTACAGTTAAGGATTTGCGCCCAGTAAATCCTCCCCGGCCAGGATACGAACCCATGACAAAGCGCTCGCGGAACGCCAGGCGAGTGTCTTACCACTGCACCACGGATCCTGCGTTGGCAGGATGGCACATTTTATGCACCATAACTAACCACTAAGCAGTTTTGGTGGGTGTGGTAATGAAATCGAAGCACAACATAACGCTAAATGCTACCAGCAGATGACGCTTGAGGAGCAGAATGCCTTCAGTATACTATGCCCATTGCCAAGTCTAGTCACAATACTGCTATTATCAGATTCCTGGTCACTAAATCCTGAATATGAATCATTATCCACAAGTTTATTTTCTAAAGGATCAAGAGGTTGTTTCATGATGCATAGATACATAAAACAATGGGTTTCTGCCTCGCACTATGAACATCATAACAAACATTGTGTTCACTGATATCTGAACAGTGTACATAATTTTTATCACAGTCAGGATCATTATTATATGACATCATTGTAAAATAATCACAATTACTTATTTTATTCATCATTATATCATTATTATGAGCTCTAACTGCTTACTCTACCCTTGGTCGCTCGCTCAATACTGATGCTCTGAGCTGGGAGGGATGCAGTAGATATTTTTCTTCAAGACGATGTCTGTTTACTGGCAGATGTAAGTCCTGTGTACCTGCAGGCGTTTTGAATTGTTTGCTATACCTACAAACATGTATTCTCGGTGAGCACACCACCCATCAAATGAAATATCACGGTGAACACATTGAAGGGATCAAGTTGGTTCCAAGGATCAAGAACCTGTTAACATTCTGATCAATTAAACAGTCGGACGTGGTCAATCTGATATATGAATCACAGGTTGTTTGTTCAGGTATCCTTTGGAGGGGTTTATCAGTTTCCCTCTTGAATGTCAAGAAAGTTATGCCCATTATATTTACAGGAAGTGTGTTGAAAATGCTGGCCCTTAATGTTTATAGAATAGTCTCAGAGTACCTTTTGCATCCCTTTTTTTATAATGGGGCTATTTTACACATTCCACCATGCCTTCTGAGCTCTTAAGGAATTATTTCTGTATGCAGATTTCGATCCAATCCCCTTATATTTAAGGGATTTTAAGCATTCCCAATAATTTAAGTGTTTTACTTAAAAATTATTGGGATCCCTTAAAATCCTTTGAATTATGCTTCCTGGTATGCAGGTGAATATTTTAAGTGTTTTATTTCTATTACAATATGTCCCTTCAGTAACTGTTCATAAATTTATGTCTACACATTGCTGAAAATATATTCTTTAATTTTAACCTGCAGATAAAAAGACCACCAGAAAAGCTCAAGTTGTTTGTCCAGTGTGTGAAGAAGATTACAGCTCAAGATTTGATACAGCAACTTAAAGCAAAGACTACTGTAATACCTGAGGTTACAGCCTCTAAAAGTAAGCCAGCTTCTTACAATTTTACAAAGAATGTTTTTGTTTCTACAATTTTCACCTTTAGTTACATGTATGTAAGTAATCAGCAGTCCAGTTGCAACAGATCAACAAAACCCAGTTTTTCCTATCTTCAAAATATATCAACTTCACATGGTTTTAGCAGGTGTAGCTTGTGTGTCCTTAATACAGTGAGACTGATGTATGTTTCTTGTATGATAATCTGTAGATGATTTGGCCAAGTAAGTTCAGGTCAATCCATCCATGTCGACAGCCAGTGCTTAGTGGCACTCAAAGCTTGAGTAGGAGTCTAGTTAAGCTTGGTGCCTTAACAAATAGGCTGCTTCCCTTCAAGCTTAAATGCTCGAGCACTCTTGGTACATGCATAAGGCATTAGCAATAGAAAACCAGAAAACTGGTTCTCTCTAGATTAATACAGAGGAAGGAAGGAAAGGGGATGTTGGCCATGGCTGTTTCCTTGTTAAAATTCACTTTGTACTAGTTAAGAGGGTCACTAGATCCTCTCTGTCTAATGTCTTAAGTTTAATATTACACTGCAAAGATTTGGATTTAAGATTGCAAAGGTTTAAGCTCTAGTCTATTTTAATTTATTCAGTTCTTCTAAGGGCTCTTACACCATTTTATGCATTTTTGTATTTCATTCTAGACCATATAATATTTTAACTACTTTTTAACATGTCTTTTGGTTGGTATGGTGCTTCAGATATAATTCCTAACCTATAATATGCAACCTAAGACTGTGACACTTTCATCCACAGTTAAAGACAAGCTGAAGGGGGACAGTTCTGGAGATGAGATAGCCTCTACAACTCTTCATTGTTCATTGTTGTGTCCCTTGGGAAAAACTAGAATGACGTTACCGTGCCGTGCCTCAACATGCAGCCATTTTCAGTGCTTTGATGCTGTTGTATATCTACAGATGAATGAGTGTAAGCAAAAGTGGCTGTGTCCTGTTTGCTTTCAACCAGCAATTTATGACCATCTACAAGTTGATGGGTAAGGAAGTTATGTTTTTGTTCCAGCTATAATTTCCAAATGTGCCTTAACTCTTTGTTTTTGACATCATTTTTTGGCTATATCATTACAAAGGGTCAAAATTCAGCCAGAACAATTTAAAAAAAATCACATTTTGTACTGTATTGCAAATCTAGTAACAGAAATTCTTTCTCCTATCTGTAAACTGAAAACAAAAATTAGTTACAAATTTTATAAAATAAAATAAAAGGTCTATTTTGAATACTGCAACACAGACGAAGTAACCTAAAATCAGGATATATGGCCATGTCTCCAACTGTCATAATTTTGGACAGGGGTGCTAGTCTCCAGCATTAGGGAATGCTCACATCAACTTCATGGAGTGGGTGGTAATATGAATGCTGCTCAGCACTTAACTCTACTACAGGACTCGACTGTCTGCCTGCATGTAGACAATGCCCCAGTGGTGCACTACTTCAGTCATGGAAGTTGTTCTTGTTCTTTTCTTCCTATGTGACACTGAAACTGTCCATAGCATCTCGTCTTTATTCTCGGGCCTTAGTACTTTAGACAGTTCACATTCAGGGTATGTCTTATGTTCTTGTTCAGTACGTATGTAAGACCTTAGGTCATCCTTGGGTGGTTTTGTTCACCTCCACATGGAACCACAAGCTACCTGCATATGTGACTTCATTCCCCACTGTGAAACGTTTGCTTTGGATGCACTACATTGTAACTGGAACCAGTGGAAGATGATTCTATCTATTTCCATGTACAGTATTAGGATGCTGCTCTTTGCATTGGAGAAGCTGGAGATTTTTATGGGCCATGTTTTCTTGCTGGGTTCCATGTAGACGGTTCAGTTCTAGTTCTCGGCCCTCCTCTTCTGTTGCTTCTATCTGGTTCTATTTCAAGACATTCGGCTATCTTGTATGATTGGCCGAGTAATCCACGTCACCTTTGAGTCTTTCCTCCGATAGTCATATCTCTGGATTTTAGGACACTTGTACCTCCATCTAAATGGGAAGCAGAGGACAGATTTGTCAAGTTATTTATTTGTGGGTTTTGCCCACATCCTCAATATCAAGTTGCTTGGGCATTGGCTTCAGCAGTTTCTTGCCCTCCACCAGGTGTCATCTGAGGTATAGGTGTTGGTTGTCTTTTCTCTACTAGCTGCTGTCTGCCACTACTGTATGACACAATTTCTTGGTATAGGTCGATGCTGTTGGAGCCTTTGCTGTTTCTCTTAATGCTGCCTTTGATTTTTTTGTTATCTCTGCCATGGCTTTGGATGTCCCCTGTTTTTGAGGACTTGACTTTGAAAGCTGTCTTTTTGGTTGGTATTGATTAAGAATCAGCTTGTAGAGAAATTCCATGTCCTGCAGCAATAGCTGGATTCTTTCATTTCAGGTTCTAATGATAAAGTCTTTCCTGTCTCATAATTCCTTTCTCGCCGAGGATGAAATGTTGAGGTATCACCAGGGCTCTATTGTCATGCATGCCTGGATTCTCTTTATTTTCATCCAACATATGCTTAGTCTGATTTCAGTATTGCATTGATAGTTCGACCATTCAGTACTTGCTGTTGGAGAGACCTCTGATTAATTGCTCACCTTCTGTTTTATGCACTGAATTTTGTCTCTACCAGTTGGTCGAGATGGTGGTCAATCTGAGTAAGCTTCACATCTATCCACGAGCTCATGATCTTTAGATGTTTGTGGTTTTCACTACTTTCTTTACCAACCCAACTACATTCGAAACCCACCAACCTAAGAACACCCCATCAACTGACTTTCATCATCAGCTCTTATTTCCACAGCTGTCTCCTATCCCCTGTACCTTCTCTTAACATTACCATTCATGCAAATAATTAATTTATCCATTAATCATTTTCTCCAACTATACATTCTGTGTGTTAATACTGTGCAATACATTACAGTATGTGTACAGTAACAAAGAGGGTGTGGTATTTGTATATTACTTTTAAAAATCCCTAAATGAGTTTAACAGTGTTTGTGTAAATACTGTACTGTGTATAATAATGTTTTATGATATATGCATGGCATAGGGGGCCCAGAGGATACATTCCTTGATCGGCTGGCCTCAGTTGCAGATCTACAACCTTGATTTTCAGCTGATATTGTAGTTTTGTTATGCACTACTCAAGACTAACATAATTTGTTCAATATTTTTATTTTATCTCTTTTTTTTTTTTTCCACAGGTACTTCACATCAATCCTGGAACAAAATAGCAGCTCTGACAAAATTATCCTGCTTGCTGATGGCAGCTGGCAACCAGTATCTGCAGCTGACAACAGGCAACAACAACCACCCATAGAGAATATATGTGATGATTACCAAGCGAAGGATACACAGTGTGCACCGCACAACATTACAGTGGATTTAGATAGTGAAGAAGACACCATCAATTATGACAGTGCAGAAAATCTGCAGGAGGAGGTGTTTAGTGACAGCTTGGGTAAGAATTAGTTATGCACCAGCAAGGAAGGAATTCATGCATTTTTTTGTTTAACTTCACTTTTTTTTTATATTTCATTTCCTTCCATGCAGTATTTTGAGAATGCTTCTTAATATTGTTTTGAAATAAGAAACTTATTTAAGATGGCTAAAGGTATTTTGCATGGAAATGAGACAGTGTATAGCCTTCTGATGGCTCATTTTAGAGGCCATTTAATCTTTTGTATGAGGGAGAATATCTCCGGTCTCTTGTGCTTCAGGCCTCTGGTCTGCATGACCTGGATCCCTGGGCTGTGAGTCCTGGCACCCTGTTCTTTTGAAGTGTACACTTTTGGAAACTACCTCGCTGGGTCTAGTCGAGCTTTGGTAACCCTTGTCAGCTGGGATAGTGCCCCTGTCATCCAGTTTAGGTGCTCCATTCCTCAGAAGATGGTGTGCATTTTTGGCCAGTTGTGTTCCTGGCTCTGTGTGGTTTGCTTGGGGAACATTCTAGGTTCTTTCCAGCTTTTTATTGGGGACTATTAGGCATTTCGCTGTTGGCTGGAAGGATTGTCTGTGCGTTTGCTACCTTCTTTCCCAGTTTTAGTGGTGGCGACTGGGCCCCTGATTGGTTTGGATTGTTCCTTCCTAGGGTGGGTTTTCCTACTCTTGTCCTCTTTGTAGGGTCTTTTGGGAGTTCCAGCCAGCAAATTAATCATTGGCTGATCGACTGTGACTCACTTGCCCACCTGACGTCATGCAGTCAAATTGTATCCACTTGCTGTACATACAAGGGTCCCGGTAGTACAGTCGGGTTCGTTCTTGCCGCAAAATCGAGAATTCTGGGTTCGAATCCCGGGCGGGACAGAAATGGTTGGGCAGATTTCCATTCACCTAGCAGTGAGTAGGTACTCAGGAGTTAGTCAGCTTGTTGTGGGGTTGCATCCTGGGGGGAGGGGGGGGGTTGTAATTTAACCTTTGCCTCGATAAAAGCCAAATGTGTATGAATACAATCTGGCTTCCTGGCCCCTGACACAATGAATTATTATACTGAGAGATGCATTAATGTTTGTATAGAATATCTTTTCAAGCATGCTAGTCTCTTCCTATATATTTTCTAGTTATATATATTTAGGGGTAGGGCATGTTAAATTTTAGGATATATTACTATTTGTCACCTTAATTGTGTGTTTCAGTTTATTTATTTATCTTCTCCAGATGTCAACATGAGTAATGCTGGGACAGATGCACAGGCTGCAGTAGAAACAATCACCCTGAGTGATGATGAATCTTTAATAAATAATTCTCACACCAGTGATCCTGGGTTCAGGTTCTCCAGTACGCCACGTAGACAATCCATGAGAACCAGACGATCTACTTCACTTACGTACCAAAGCCCTGATAATACAGGTACCACACAGTTTACATCTTCAACTCCTCTACATTCCACGGGTAGAACCTTAGGGGATTTTTTAGCCGTCCCTGAACTTAGAAGATCTAAAAGAAATACACGTAGCAAAGCCAGCAGTAGGGCAAATAGTATTATGAATAGCACAGACAATGGAGGAAATGGGAACATGGAGAACAACTTAACTAACAGTGAAATCAGTAGAATGGACAGAAACACAAGTGATAGTGTAATCAGTAGAATGGACAGAAACACAAGTGCTAGTACAATCAGTAGAATGGACAGAAACACAAGTGCTAGTACAATCAGTAGAATGGACAGAAACACGAGTGATAGTACAATCAGTGGAAAGGACAATACAAATACTAGTCAGAAAAGCATGGCCAGTGGTAGTGTTTGCAGTGATAGCAGTGACGTCATCAATTTAACAGAAGATGACACTGATTCCTTCTTTTCTGGAAGTGATAATTCTGCTGCTTCTTTTATTCCTCTCAGATTATCAGGTAAGTTACCAATAATATATTTTTTTATACATGTTATATTTATATAGCTAACTAGATGGGGTATGTAACTGTGTCTGGATATCTCTTTCCTCCCACTCTTTCTCACCTCTCTTTCTCCTATCCCCAACTTTTACCCCTCACTTTTCCTTTTCCATCCTCTCCACCTGTCTCCTTCCCTCCCCTCAATATCTCCTCTCTCACCCCTCTCTCCTTCCCTCTCTCCCCACCATATCTCTCTCTCTTTCTCCTGGGAAATTGGTGAACCCAGACAGAGGGAATGCATTTTCTGCCAAACAATCATATAAAAGCCACTATTTCACTATCTCCTGGAATGTCAAGCAATCAACGACCTTAGAAGATCTTTTAGAGTCCCTGAATCTTATGGTAAATGACCCAGGGTATGGGATGCTCACGTAAGCTGCATGGCAGTGCTGTGAACTGCTGCTGCTGCTGTTGCAACATGCACTACTCATGGTTGCTCTCTTAGTACTTCCACCTCTCACACCTATGATTCTTTTCCAAGATGGTGTCTGTTTACTGGAGGTTTCAGTAAGCAGATGTGAGCCTTGTGTACCTGTGGGAGTTTTAAATCTTATATGGTTCTGTACTTTAAAACATCCATGATTGTGTCATGCAGCCAACAGTTATTTGCCCTGGGCATGGGTTTGACTCTGGGCTCTGTACCAATTTCTGTGGTTTTACGCCTTCCACCCACAGTACTCGATCTCTTTATGAATGCCTCGGTCCTGGGATGGAGCTTTATGACTATTACTCATCAGGCTTCCCAGGATCATTGGGTGAGTTTTCTTTGGAAGATGCAGAGCACAGTTTACAAGTTTGTGGAATTTTGGCACGTGTTGTGGCTCATTCGTCTTCCTTTGGGCTCTTTTTATTAAGCTCCACTCCGACTGCTCTCTGGTGGTTCATTGTCTGAATTGCGGGTGGTCATTTTGGACTTTTCCTCCGTTGGGCTGAACTCTACAAATGGCTCGACTTCGGCAGCTTCTATTCCACATTGCCCTGTTTTCCTATCGTGAGGCTGTCATGGTAGATGCCTTTTGGCTTCATTAGAATTGGTGAGAATTCCTGTATCTCTTCCCTCTGGTTTGGTTGCTGGTCCTAGTGCTCTCCAAACTGGCTGGCTTCTTGAGGGCCAGCTTAAGCATGGTTTCCAGCCCTTCAGGTCTGTTATCTGAACCCCACACATTTTCCATAGCTTTCCCGAGTGTGATTTAAAAAATTACTGCATTTGAACGTCTCCGAGTTTAGCATAGATAATGATCCTCAATGGTTCAAGGCTCTCCTTTGATCACCGCATCCAAACTTTCTAAGTCTGCTTTACTGACATTTGCATGGTCTGCAGATGGGAGATCTCTTGGTTTCTGCTTGCATCTTTCATCTCAGCAGCAGCAGCAGCAGTATGAGGTCTGTTGGTGCTCTTTTCATCTGTTCCCATCTCCTCATCGCTTGTCTTCAGTTTCAGGGGTCTTGTCCTTTTAGTCCTGGTGGTTTATTGATTGGCATTTGATATCAAATAGAAATGCTACACGATTCATATCATTCAGTGCTGGCAAAACCACTTTTGTTTTCATTTGGCACTGACATTTATTCAGCACCATTTTACAAAGCACAAAGTTGTCTCATGCATTTTATCATCCAGCCGCTCACTTTCCTCCTAAGCATTCATGGTCTCTGAATCAGGTTTTGTTTTTTTCTTTCATTTGCTTAGTTCTTGGTTGCCCCTTTCATCTGGTATTTGTTTTATAAAGCCTTGTTTTTATTAGCTCTTGCATCCAGGTTTAGGAAGCCTTGTGCTCTCCTTTGGAGGCAGGAGTTCTGTTCCTTTGGCCGAGGTGAGTTATTTCTTCATTTGCAGCCCTTTCCTATCTTTCAGGCAAAGAATAGTTTTAGGAATACCTAGGTCTAGCTCATTTTCCAATATCTGTTGTAAAAACTGCACAATTTCAGGAAACAAGCATTGCCAGAAGAGCACTCATTTACGCTTAAAAGCAAGAAAGTAATAGTATAAAGTGTTATATGTTTATAACTAAGGCCTATAAGTTTGGACAACACAAAACATTCACTAGCCAGTGTGACATTGTAATTGCTAGTATTAGAGTGGGATATCTAAAGTTATGGCAGATGGCTGTAGGTAATGAATTCCCCATTGGTAAGCATTCCAATTGTAAACTATGTGAACAAGAGCTATTGCGCATTCCAACACTATTTGTGAATGTCGTGTTATCAATGACTTCAAACCAAATGGTATGAGATACTTTTGAGTTCTGCAACTACTTCATGCACTCCAAAATATTGGAAGATATTAGACACCCAACCCACAAATCTGAGAGTGAAGAATTGGTGATTGTTTGTCCTGGACCATTATCAACTTGATAATTGTTCAAGATATTGAAACATCATCAATTCTTTATTTTCAGATTTGATTTGTGGGTTGGGTGTCAAATCGTCAGCCATGTTATTGTGACTCATCATCTGCATTGGAAGATATTCTTGTGCTCTACCCAGAGTTTGCTAGTCCAGGTTACTGGACTCGCATCTTATATTCTCTTCTGATTTCATATATGACTAACCATCCTGTGGGATGGTATATTAAATTAAGTCATATTTAGCACCTTATACATTGTAAATCTTCATTTAGAATAGGATAGCAGCATATTGCTGCGTGTACCTTATTTTGTTTATAAAAAGAAATGTTTTGCGGAGAGTCATTGTTGTTGACTCTTGGCTTGTTTGGCCGATTGTGCATCAGTTTTGTTAGTCCTCCTTGTTATTTACATGCCACTGAGGATGCTTCTGGTGATGCATTGTTTGTTGACCTAGTTTCCTTGGCTCCTTGTTCCACAGCCCATTGTATCATGTCATCCAAAGTGTCATCAAGTTTAACCAGCCTTCAGTCTACCTTCAAGCCCATACCGTTCAGAAGTCTAAAGCATTGTCCACTGTATTTTGTAATATGACCTGGATTGATATTTGGGATTGGGTTTTGGACTTTAAACAGTGTGTTAATGGCATGTTACTGTATATTATTAATGTATCGGGACTCCACCAGGCTTGTGTGATGTTGGGTAGAGTTACATGGTGCCGAGTCCAACTCCTTTTTGGGATACTGGCTTCTGCTCTCCTCTTCCCTGGTAAACTCCCTTTTTGTTCTTATTCTCCCTTGGCGAGATAGCAGTGGGGAGCTACTGAGTCAACCCTTCCAGAAAAACCAGCATTGAATGTGATGAAATGCTTCTTTCTGATGGATCCTTCAGTGGCTCCCTGGTCACTCAATTCCCTTTTAAGTTGCATTGATGGTCTTTGGGCGGCTCGTGACCGATGGGTTGGTCCCAGGCAGACAGAGGTGTCCCAGGGCTGCCACCAGGTAGCAGGTGAGTGTAATAATGGGCCTGGGTGTGATGTGTGTGTGTGTGTAGCTTTATTTGGAGAGCTAGCAACAGCCATCAGAAAGAGGCTTTTTATTACATTTAACTCTGGTTTTATTGGTAAATTTTCTAGAAATAAATCCCAGTATCATTGTCACTAGTATTCATCATGGTAAATGCAATTTTTTATGTTTCATTAAATATTTTAACATGAAAATGGCCATATGCTTGCATTGTAGTGTATGTTACCACAGCTGTTATAATGAGCACTTACTGTTATTCTGAACTTTATCATTACAGTACTGTGTACAATTTACTAACTTATTGTAGGTGCTTGTGCTTCATCCAGGAGGGCAACACAGACTACAGACAAAGGTAAATATACTAAAAGGTGGAAAATATTTGAAGATAACTACTTTTTTTGCATTATAATAAACTTAAAATATTTTTTGTAGGCCGGCATGTGTCTCCCCAGCGATCAACGATGGTACTCAGAAGTGCATTTCGGAAACCAGAAATTATAAACCCAAAAACCAGACACGGAAGATAGAACAAATAGTATTATTTAAGATTTATATCAAATCAACTAACAATTTTTCTTGCTTTAATTTTTAAGTTCATTGTGTTGTCTGGGATAATCAGATATCACATGCTTCTTTTGTAGACCACTGTCGGACACACTACATGACTGGTATGGCGCCCCACAGTAATTCGAAGAAGCAAAAACAATGGATGAGAAAGAGGAAAAGGCCGAGGAGGAATTTAAAGCACTCTAAAAATAAAAAGGTTTGCAAACGTCCATAAAGCTCTCCAACCCCCATTGGTTATTAACCAGTTCTCACGTATGAGAAGTGAAAGTGCGGGTATTGTACAATAACGTGATGTACTGTATGTATAAATGCATTCAATTATACACATCTATGAACATGCTAGTGTTTATTTTTGTATTTTCAGGTGATGGATTATTTTGTTTAAATCTTTGACAGAACTTTTATACTGTACAGTACATTATTGTTTGCAAATCTTGTAAGGCAAATGTAAATAGCTGAGGAAAGCTAATAGTTTTTATTTGTCTAAATGTACATATAACTTATAAGGCTTTACTTTTATACATTCATATTGAGGATCTTGTCATACTGTACTTCAGTTCACTTTCCTAACTTGTAAATAATGTATCTGGTGACATAGATTTCATTGTACAGTGAAAATGCAACACACACTTCTCTTTGCACTTTTACATACAAGATTTTTTTTTATTATTATTTTTTGTTTAAGCATTTAATTGTCTATCGGTATCATATATTTTGGCGAATATTATGATGATTGTGAATGTTACGGTGTGTGTTGGTTTTAAAGTGGGTACCCAAGATAGCACCTGTGGATTATTTTTTCCTCAAGGATTTTGATAAGCATTTGATGTGTTTATTTACAAATTATTATTTGTATGTTTACAAACTATTTGTTCATGTTTAAAGCATGTGTACCCAAATATTTTAGTGATGTTTCCACTTCCTTTAAGACAAAATTCAAATCTGAATTTAGTAAGACATATCCTCCAGTAAAAGATAATTATATTTTGAAAGTAAAAAAGATAAACTTTTGTAAGTGGGAACGGCAGGTTAGTGCCCCAAAGAGCCATAAACTGCCTCTTCGGGACTAGTGCCAATCTCATTTATTCATTTGGTTAAGTAATCTCATTTGAAATTGGTGGTAATGCAAACATCAAATGTTTTAAGTGTTTGATCATTGTCACAACCCTTAACAATACATTATTCCTTTGGCAGTGTTATAGGTTTTTTGTGTATACATTAGTTAGTAAATGTGGTGCTTACAGCTTTGTGGCTCCTGGAAGATGAAGCTATGGAAAGTAATGACAAATGCAATGTTATATTATGGCTGCCCGCACACACTTTTATGCTGCGAGTAATTTGTTAAGAAAGAATGACTAGATTACATCATAATCTGCTCATTTTGTTTTTAAGGTTAAAATAATTTAGTCACTATATACTGTAAACTCAGTAACCATATGTCTTGCATATGTACATGGTGTTTTGAAATTCAGGATGATCGTAAGTTTTGCTTTCCCAGTGTTCCTTCGAGTTGTTGTAACAAAGTAGCTTCTTGTAGAAAGTATAGATCTGTCCTAAGCATTACATTGGGACCACATGTCTCCCAATGTAATGCTTATGACAGATCTGTACTTTCTACAACAAGCTAGTTTGTTACATTGTGTCCTTCAATAAAATCCTTGAATTCGATTCCTTTGACATCAATTGTCTTATGTCTTTTTGCTGTTGTATTGACATCCTGAATGATGTCTGGGAACTTGAGTATTCTCTGACAGTGCTATATACTGTAACCTTCCAGGCTTGACACCGTTTGTTAATTACTGACCAATCTCACTTATCCGGACTATGTGGGAAGGACTCCTTGCCAGATAAGCCAGACTTACGGATAAGCAGGCGCTCTTAGCGAGGAAGTCCAAAAATGAACATAATAGCAATTTTTTGTACCACAAGCAACATAACTAGAATTTCCACACACACCATCAATCAAAAATATATTTTAAAACAAACTTCAGCTTCCTTGTGTATTCTGTTTTCTTGTTTGATGTTGTAGTTCTTAAAATTTGAACAGTTTACATAACCTAATCTCCAGTTATCCGGATATGGCGAAGTTTTGCCAGAAAATTATCTAGACGCTATTTTGACTGGATAACCCCAAATATTCTATTCAGTGTGCTTCAGATAACTGAGCTAATATAGTACTTGGTAAACTGTCACTGGGGGTTGGTTTTCTCTTTTTGGAATCCTTGGTGAATCCTATTCCTTTGATATCATTTGCCTTGTGTTCTGTTCTCGTATTAGTATCCTAAGTGATATTTAGTGCTTTTTGAATATGCAGCGACTGTTGGTGCTACATAGTCTTCCCGGCTTGGTGCCTTCTATTGATAATTACTTGGTAAACAATTTAGTCACATCATCATCCAGATAAAAGGTTTTATATATATCACCCAAGTTAAAATATCAGATTAATCTCTTCCAGTGCCATTCAGGTGAAATCAAAGAAATTAAATATTTGTGAAAAATTGGCTCTAAAATTGAAGAGATTTATTTGTGCCTGGAAATACTGCTGGATTCTAGAGTACACATTGCATATAACCTGTTTTCCATTGATAGTTGTCGTGAAGATAAATATTCTAAGTGCTCCTTATGTATCTATGGTGTAATAAAAGTGGTGTCAATAATTCAGTTAAGAGCCAGTAAAAATGAACTATAACAATTTAATTTTTCTGTCATAGTTAGTCATTATTACTTAGTATCTCACTTTTGCTGGGTGAAGAATACGCTAGGCATGGACTAACCACTTGTGGCTACTGAGCAAAGAAAGGAAATATTATTTTCATAAGAGTGCAGTCTTACTTTACTAATTCTGTGCAAAGGGACTTCATGTGGACCTCTTATGAGAGAAGTCAAAATTTAAATCGTTTGTTGAGGTTCTGTAAAATTGCATAATGGTATTTGTTGGAACTAACATGGGTATGGATTTTTTTTTTATCTATCATTATTACCTTAAATGCATTAATATTGAAATTCATTCAAATTTTAACAAAATATGATGATTAAATGACTTTTAAACCAGAATAGATTTTGTTTATGAATCTTAAAATTGTTCTAATATATTCATTAATATTTTTCACTTGATACAATTTTGGGTCTTGGAACTTTTATTTTTGAAGGGGACCTGTAACAAAATACTGCACAGACTAGTATAAGGCTGGTTGCGTGGGTTTACACTCACCTGGGAGTCCCAGGAGCTGCCTGCCTGCACAAAATACATTAAAATCAATAACCACATTTTACTGAGTACAGTATCAACAATTTGTTGTGTCTAGACATTTCTTTCATTGAATTTATTTAGAGTGGTGGGATTAATATGCATGATAATTATCCTGCCATTTTGCATCTTTTTTGTGATATTACTATAAGGAACTAGATATATGTATTGGTGAAATTAATTCATATGCTAGAACATCTATACTATATGAACTGATCCATTATGTCTTCAATTTCAGGCCCACTGTAACTTAATTTTGTATTTTGTCATAAATTTATAAGTGGCTAGCTAAGTAATACACTAATTGCTTTGTGGCACTTCATTATTCAATTAAATATTTTGTCATTTCATATATCTTTCATTAATCAATTCAATGTTAAATACTACCTGTATACTTGATTACTCTATGTGAGACTTTAATTTTGTAACAATAATGTTTGATGTACATTAATTACATGCATCATAATAATGTGTTGTGGAAGCCAGCATAGTGCACAGTCTGGCAATCTGTGTGTGCTGCTTCATCATGTCTCACTCTCCTGGGTGTTGCCTAGATGAGGTGAGGGGCTCTTGTGTGGTTCTTGGACTGATGAGGGTGTATTGTTTCCCCCTTTTCTTCTTCAGTTATGAGGCATACAAAAAAAAAATACATAGGATTTCTGTTTGGGTCATATCAGACCACCTGCTGAAAAGGTTGCCCTGTAATTATCTAAGTGTAGTTACAGGATGAGAGCTACGCTCGTGGTGTCCCGTCTTCCCAGCACTCTGTCATATAACACTTCGAAATTACTGATGGTTTTGGCCTCCACCACCTTCTCACCTAACTTGTTCCAACCGTCTACCACTGTTTACAAAAGTGAATTTTCTTATATTTCTCCTGCAGCTTTGTTTCGTTAGTTTAAATCTACGATCTCTTTGTTCTTGAAGTTTCGGGTCTCGGGAATTCTTCCCTATCAATTTAATAATTTCTTGTTACTATTTTGTACGTAGTGATCATATCGCCTCTTTTTCTTCTATATTCTAGTTTTGGCATATTGTAATAAGCTTCTCTCGTTTATTATCCAGCTCCTCCTTTGACCATGTGTTGCATGGCGGTGGACTATATGCATTTATGATCGTTAGTTTATCATCCTGATTGCAGATCTCTAGTGCTATTATGTCAACTTCTCGTGGATTGGCAATCATTATTTCATTTACCTTTAGGTGTTCTTTCACCAGCACAGCAACACCATTGCCGTAACTAATTTTTCTGTCCCGTCTCCAAACTGAGTAGCCCCTTGGGAATATGACCTCATTTAAAATATCATCTTCAAGTTTTGTCTACATGAGTGCAACAATGTCTAGTGTCTGCAGCTGTATTACATCACTTCAGTACCTTTGATCTCACTCCATCTATGTTGGTGTATGCAATTTTCAGGAACATGTTCCCCCTGTCCTTATTCTTTACTTCCCCTCTCTCAAGTGATTTTGTTGGTTTGCCTTTTTGTACCATTTTACTGGTCTGCCTATCCTGTCCTGTTATTGTCCTGTGTGGATGGATATGTGCATCCTGGCTGGGGTGAGAGTAGAGGGGGTCCTTGCACTGCCAATGACGATAGCAGTTTACCATCATTTGGATCAATCTCTTTCCTGTTGAAGAAGGGAAAGTATTCACCTAGTTGTGCTTGCGGGAGTTGAAATCTGCTCTTTCGCCCCGCCTCTCAACTGTTAATCAACTGTTACTACCTACTACTAACTTTTTTTTCCCACACACCCAGGAAGCAGCCCGCAACAACTGTCTAACTCCTAGGTACCTATTTATACTGCTAGGTAATAAAGGCATCAGGGTGAAAGAAACTACCCATTTTTGTTTCCGCTGGCGCCGGGAATCGAACCGCGGACCACAGGACTACGTATCCAGCGTGCTGTCCACTCGGCCACCAACGCCCCTGTAAAAGTGGCCATCCTCTTGATGCCCTTGTCCAACCTTATAATTCTTATTATATTCTTCCATTTCTTATGGATGTTTAATGAGTTCACCCTGCTGGCACAGTGGCTTTTGCCTTGTTAAGTTTTTTACTTAGCAAGCATTGCAGGTGATATTAAACAATTATGAAGCATAAATGGAATGAGAGCAATTGTCCTTACTAAACACCTGTTCTAATAATAGCCAATACCACTTACCTTAAAATGGATCAGCGCCACACAAACCTCAGGCAAGTGAATGAACTGATCAAGCGGTTGACACCTAGGATGACCTAGGCTGCCATCTGGTGTCGTCGTGATTAGGGTTGTTCACCTGCGGCAGTAATTACTTGTACTGTTTGCCTCATAGCTCATTAATTCCTTGAAAAGTCATTTTAAATCCGATCCTCAGAATCACCTCGCCTTGTAGAAAGTGGCAATCTGGTCCTAGCTCCCAGTTCGTGAGTATTAATGCAATTTCCAATTCATGCTTACTGTATATGAATTCAACCTTCATATTCTTTGAACAATGTCAATCCTGTCCGATACCTGAAACACTTAATATTATTTATATGCTATTGAGTTGGATGACCACACTTGAGAGTTAATTCAAAGGACAAGCTTGACCCAATGGTTAAAGTTCATCCAAAGAAAAACATGTTGAGCAAATGAATGTTGATAAATAACAAGATATCAATGTATTGAACCTTTAATTATTTACTGTACAAGCAAGTAATTTTTTTTTTTATGTAATTTTCACATGAAAACAAGTTAACATTATAAAAATTAAACTGTCACACACTCCAATATGAAAATATATAAGAGAAGCATATACAGTATATATTTCCTCTAACTTTAAGCAACAATATCCTACCCACTACACTACAACCCCATGTTTGTCTGAATTCAAGTTAGACTATTATCACATGTGTATTTAGCATCGTGAATATATAAACACACACACACACGTGCATTCATGTGTAAATTTTATTTTAATATTCCACTGAAAAACATTCATCAGAAAACAAAATAATATATATAAATATAGCATTCCAAAATATATAAGTACTTATTTAAAGCTTGAAATGGTACATCCTATACAAATTAAAAAGGAAAATTTGAACAGTGAACAATAGTTGTACATCCAAAATATCTTAAAAAGTATGTGAATACAACACTAATATACAATATATGAATGAGTTTCATTGGATATAAATAGGACCTACCTCACATAGATATGAAGTGGTAAGCAAGCCTGCTGTAGTATCCATAATTATGTTCTAATCTGCAAAAATAGATACCTTCCTTTACAATAAGAATGAATTATGATCAAGTCACTATGTAGGATTGCATAGGCCTATATGGGTCCTTGCAAAAGAAAAGGCACATTTGATTTTCTAACAATTGTTGTCGAGAGCGTGGTATTTGTGAGCGGCAGCTGGGATGACAGCAGACACAGAGTAGATATTAAGGTTGCTGGCTGTGTAGCCCTCCTGCAGGAACATGCTTGTGGCAACCAGGAGAACCATCTGTACAACAGGAAAAATATATATAGGCTAATTAATTCAAATCTTCCAAACACTACTCCAAATATAAGGGATTTAATGTAGCACTTAGATAACTTCATCAGTGAACTATGAATGTTGGTACAGTACAACATTAAATTTTTCTGGTGAATTACCTGTATCTGAGACACTGTAAAAGGACATTACCTTCATTTATCTTATCTACAGTATTAAATGTCAAAAACCTGTAATCAGATTTTTACTTTAAGTAGTTAAATGATTTTCTGTCAAGTTATTATTTCTCAATTAAAAAGAACTGGATATTATGACCTAACCTGTCAATTTGTGAAACATTTTTGTGAGCATACCTAATGTACAATTTTTTTTAACACGTGATCTGGTTCTCACTTAGCATTGCTTGCTAATTTTAGCTACTTCAAGTTCAAGTATGTTTATTGAGATAAGCAAGAAATACATCTCAAAGAGATAGAGTAGCTTAGGCTATTTCTACCCCCCATTTTAGCTACTATATGTTGGATAATGACCCCCTTAGTGCATTAACCGATCTAAAATAACTCAAAATCGCTTCATTATTACTCTGATTCACAAGGGCCCCAGAATGATTGAAAAGTCGCATCTCCCGAGTGGGCAGAATTTGCAAGGCCTCAACTGCTATACCAACACAGTCCACTAACACAAGACAAGTTGATGGTTCCATACATAATTTTTGCTGCTTTCAACATTAAGTAAACGTTTTATTTCTACCACAATATATATCAATTTATGCACAATGCACAAATTTATGTGTTAAGTGGTTTTACAAGAATATAAAATGTAAAGTAAGTAGGTTCACAAACAGCTAAAAGAATATTAACATTTTAAGTACTGTATTGATAAGCAAACACTCATTTCAAGAACAGTTGGGGAGATACTCCAGTAAGTGCTGGCCATCAAGCCCGAGAATTGATAGGAGCGCGCACACAACAAATTCTGTCTTCAAATAACACAGCCTCTCTATTTAAATCCATTAACATGCTAAAGTACACTCATTCCACACATTCTCTTGTGCTATTTACCGGCACAAGATAATTTCAGCAATTTCCTGAAGTTCGGCTTCAGGAAATTGCTTCAACACAAGGAGCTACTGAGGTGGGGGGTTAGCTCTTGAAAATATTATGTCCCTCACACTTACATTAAAAGCCTCAAACTATTATATCCCACTATGCCAAGTTTTATAATCAGTACTCTAGAGTCTACCAAGCTTCACATAAATACATCAATGTAGCAGTACTGTACTTACAAGAGCAACATGCATGGCACACACAGGTAACCACACTTCCCGGCTCAGCGTATGGTAGTCAATACCAATGTTGTGTAGCACTGTGGGGAAGCATCCCTGGTGGAAAGATTACTATAAAAAAATCATATTTCACTTAGCAAATATACCACAGTAAAAAAAAAAAAGCTTATACAGGTTTTAACACATACTGAAGCTCAATTGGTAATGTAGCAAATAATATACACTACCAAATGCTACTGCCGTCATCCTATATGACTCGCCTCGGTTATTACTACATCCTCAGCATCAATTATATGTGCAATGTCCTTCCCACAGTCAGGTACAACCTCCAGACAACAGGAGTCAGGAACATCTGTGCCCTTGCCAAAAGCTGTGGCAAACCAATCTTTGTAGCTAATGGTCCCACAGCAGTTCATCTGAAAGTTTATTATAATTTTATTAAACTACACAAACCTTTTTGAACTATCTAATCCACAAAATTTTCCATAAACTGTTTTAATGCCAACATTAAAGTGTCAGACACTGATAAAATTGTTTTAGAGTACAGTACACAATCATAATATTGCATTACTGTTTTCAAAATCATAATCAGAGCAAAAACAACATGCCCCTTGACAAATCATTATGTTTAACCCCTTTAAAAAAAAAAAAAAATAAATAAATCGCCAATTGCTCTTAAATTTTGTCACACATTTGTTGGTTGTGTCTTACAAATTAAGAGCAAAGAGAATTGTAATTAATTAAATATTTTATGTAGATTTTATACATAATCATCCCTCAAATCCTAGGAGAGAATACAGTACAGTGATAGTGTACCTCCATAATTTGGATTCTATATCATTCTTGACCAGATCCAAATTTGGGAGGGATCTGGATTTTTGGAAGGCTTATAACAAATAGAAAACATTTTTGTGCCAGTTTAAATACAATATAAAAGAAAAGGGAACTATCAAGAGAAAGTGCCAAGCAATTACAACTACTGCAAATAGCACTCGGAAGGGATCAGGATAAGGATTTGGGATGGGAGAGGGGTGAAGGAATGGCGCCCAACCACTTGGACAATCAGGGATTGAACTCCGACCTGCATGAAGTGAGACCGTCGCTCTACCGTCCAGCCCAATCACTTGGACGAGAGTACAGTATTATGAATTTTTATACAGTATAAAATATTATAAATACTGTATGGTACTATTTCTTAACTTGTCCTGATGAAGACAAATATAGAAATTCTTTGCAAATGATATAACTTACCTCCATCTGGATTTCATCCCACAGCTGAGTATCAGAAATATTGACCCCATAGTCCACTTGTGTTTTCTCCATGGCTTCACCCATGTAGTCACCCAGTGCCTTGGCCAGTACATGCTGCTTCTGGTAAACTATGCCTGTGCTTACAATTTCTGTCACCACCATCAACAGGAGCAGAGACAGGCACTATTGGACAATTAAAATAACTTATGTTTAATCATTTCCTGAGTTACTTATTTAGCATAAGCAGTCAAGAGTACACCTCTAATCTTTGATAACAATAAACATTTTGCATTCAAGTGTACTGTTATACAGCACATCAGGCTACAACAAACAGATGACATTATGGTTAAAGTAACTGACAAATAGGAATGATAAACTTGCTAATAAATCACAGCCAACATTACAGAATAGCACTGAATGCTGGAACTTTTATACTTTATATTTTTCGATATTGTATCTGGGTGTGGTAAGTTAACATGACCTAACTTCACCAATTTTTCTCTATAAACTATACTACTGTAATATGCTTTTAATGGGTTACACTCCACTCCTAAATTAATTAGATAATTGTTCCCCCAACACTGTGTGTTGGTCCATATTACACTTGGTTTTGCTATCTTACAGGGAAAAATTTAACTCATTCAAAACCAATAATTTGAATACTGCACTGTACATATAAATAACTAACTTAGGTACAGTACTCTCCACGTAGGAACCGGCCATACAAACCTTTCACAAAACAGATCCATTGCCTTACCAATTACCAAAAGACTCTAGCTCCCATTTTTTTTTTTTTATGAAATTTTGTGAGACTTCAATTCAAATAATACTTAAAGGCAATGTGGTCCTATATCTACACAAGGTAACATATGTGGCATCTCCACTGAACCCTGGGAGAGACCAAGGATGAGGGAATAGACTGTAATAAAGTTCTCTTGGAGGGCATCCATTGCCAACCATTTGGCATTACTGTATATGAATCAAGCTTCTTAACCAAGCTTGTGGACATCCATTATATGAAAAAAGTAATATGTAAGACATATTATATATAATATAATTATATTATACATATTATATAAAACATATTATATTCTATAAGACTCAGTAATATTCTCTTACCATGCTTTAAATGATTTTAGTAAACTCTCGCAATGCTAAGAGAAGTTGAGGCTGTGTGAAAGTCATTAAGCATAATTAAAACCAAGTTTTATGGTTGGTATTCATTTTGAGCTTAACATGGTTTTCATTTACACCATTAGGGAAGTTATGGCACTATCTTTCAGAAATAGGGGATGGGCTGCAAGAGGGTGAAAATTCTATATGGTATTGCAATCAGATAATCTTGGTAGATAATCATCATATAGTATAATGGGCTAAAAGTAAAAATCTGCTCTGTAAAAGTTACTCAGTAAGAGAAATAAAAGGTACGATGGTACAGTATATCCCTTAAAGCTGTTCTAATTGCATTTTTAAGTTTTAGTAGATACTGTACTTGCAACCCTAAGGAAAGGGGCTGAAGTCACGAGAAAACCATTGAGCAATGCTAAAACTAAATTCCGTTGTTTTACATTATGAGTTTGAAGTGGTTTTGCTCTTATTAACAAAATCCACAATGGTGACAATACTGTAATACATATTTGCCATATTAATTCCATATTAAATGGCATGTGCCAACTCTATTTAATTCCATATTAAGTAGTGTGTACCTAACCTACTTAAAACATATTCTCTTTGACAATTAAATACTGTAAACATATGACAAAATATGCATTAAAAATCAACCAACCTGACACACCAATAATTAACAGTACCTGTATAGTATAATAAATAAAAACACAAAATGCTGTATGAAGGAAGAGGAAGATGATAATTACAGTACTGTACGTCACCAAATGCAGATAAATTGGCATTGCTGTTTTGTATTTTGGAAATTTTAGTATATTTCAGTTAAAAAGTTAAAAAGTAGTAATTTAGAACCTGTACTTGAGGTCGATCTCGAACCCATTGTTGATGTGACGACTTATATTGAATTTTTGTAACTAGCTCATCAAGATTGTAACTTGCTTAGCTAAATGAATTGTGGGGTTCAGTCCCTGAGCCCATTATGTGCCTATGTAACCCTTTCCACTACCGCCCACAAGATGGGTATGGGGTGCATAATAAATGAACTAAACTAAAAAAAGTAGTATTTAAAGTTTTTGAAACTGTTGGAAATTTTGTGAATTTATGAACTTTTAAAGTGTATATTTTCAATGCTTTACTGTACAATGTCAGTCTCAGATTCTTAGATTTCAAAAATAAATATTTCTCACAAATTCTTATTTATTGAGTGCCTGAGAAGGCAAGACTTGTTTGTTCAAAACTAACTTGCAGATTATTCACTAGGTGTTTGTAGATGACTATATATTAAACATCATAAAACACTGGTATCTACACAGATATTTACATTAAACTCACAATACAGTACTCTAATTGCAGACATGTCTTAAAATATTACAGTTTGTGATCCACAGTATATTTTACAAAGTTGCCTTTTAGAGTGCTATAAAATTTCTGTACCAAATCATGTTCACTCACAATTTTGAAGGCCTTGGGATTAGGAGCTAGTGTCGCAATAGCTCCAACAGTGCTGGTGGCTGTGATTCCAACTCCTAGCACCATAATCGCACCGACTGCTACCCAAAGCCAAGTCGGTATCCATGGTGAGAGATAAGCTACATATGATGTAAGGAGACTTGCACCAGTATAGCTCACAGCAATACCAGTGCCCTGCAAAAATAACACAATGTACTGCTCAGTAATTTAATAGTATATTCCAATGATGTAATACTGTATAAACAGTTTGCTGTACTATGGATATCTGCTCGACTATAGCCATATACTGTACATAACAATAAAATACTGTACATATATTTGCAATAATAAATAAAAGCTTCAGACTATTTGAATAAGTTAACTGAATCTACAAAGCATGATTACAAATGCCTTTCAAGCATGTATGAAGATGATAACTAGGCCTATGTAAATAATGGCTTATACAGTACTGCAAATTTATACTGTATTACATACATCTTCTGTATTTTGTAGAAACATTAATAACCAGATACAGTAGTTACGTGAATTTACCCGAGGACCACCATCTCTAGTGGCCTCAATAGAAACAGTAAGCTGGCACTTGTCAAAGGTGTCTCCTATTATATCAAAATATTAAGTTAGGGGATCATATGGTAGAGGTAGATCTATCTTGAGGTTATCTTGAGATGATTTCGGGGCTTTTTAGTGTCCCCGCGGCCCGGTCCTCGACCAGGCCTCCACCCCCAGGAAGCAGCCCGTGACAGCTGACTAACGCCCAGGAACTTATTTTACTGCTAGGTAACAGGGGCATAGGGTGAAAGAAACTCTGCCCATTGTTTCTTGACGGCGCCCAGGATCGAACCCGGGACCACAGGATCACAAGTCCAGCGTGCTGTCCTCTCGGCCGACCGGCTACCCTTAGATGATCAGTATCTTGGCGGGAAAGAGTGGAACAGTGTACAGGAACTGTATGGAAAAAAAAAGGGGGGAAGGGGGAGGGAAAAGACAGAGCTTGAAAACTGAAAGGTTTGTGTCGTGATACAGCCTCTTGGAGAAACATTCTGTTGTGGCTAACTACTGATTGGGAGCTTCCAGGAAGGAGAAAGGCATATCAGGGCTATCCTGTTGAGATAACTAGATATACAGTACTGTATCTTTATTACAGCCAAATGATGAAGATGCCTCTGGCTGTAGCCAATCAAGGTAAATATTTCCAATAACTATGGTGAGATGCTGTGCCCCCGAGATGACTCATCTCGAGTGATGCTGCAGCCTCAGACTACCCTCCTGGGGGCCATGCCAAGGTCTCGGGTGCCACTAGGCCAGTGCCAGAGTGATATAATAGGGTGGCCAGCCACCAGGATACACCAGGACACAGGGGGCGGGCGGTGGCAGGCACCGACACGGACACTCACCACCAGGATGAAGAAGGCGGCCAGAGCTATGTACTTGGCCACGGCCATGTTGGTCAGCTGATCTGGCGCCGCTCCTGTCACCCGCCGCCACTCCTGTCACCTCCCTCCACCCCTATCACCCGCCGCCACTCCTGTCACCACCCTCCACTCCTGTCACCACCCACCACTCCTGTCACCCGCCGCCACTCCTGTCACCTGCCGCCACTCCTGTCACCCGCCCCCACTCCTGTCACCACCCTCCACTCCTGTCACCACCCACCACTCCTGTCACCACCCTCCACTCCTGTCACCACCCACCACTCCTGTCACCTCCCTCCACTCCTGTCAGCACCCTCCACTCCTGTCACCTCCCTCCACTCCTGTCAGCACCCTCCACTCCTGTCACCCGCCGCCACTCCTGTCACCTGCCGCCACTCCTGTCACCACCCTCCACTCCTGTCACCACCCTCCACTCCTGTCACCACCCTCCACTCCTGTCACCCGCCGCCACTCCTGTCACCTCCCTCCACTCCTGTCAGCACCCTCCACTCCTGTCACCACCCTCCACTCCTGTCACCCGCCGCCACTCCTGTCACCTCCCTCCACTCCTGTCACCACCCTCCACTCCTGTCACCACCCTCCACTCCTGTCACAACCCACTACTCCTGTCATCCACCCTCCACTCCTGTCACCACCTGCCACTCCTGTCAGCACCCTCCACTCCTGTCATCCGCCGCCACTCCTGTCACCACCTCCACTCCTGTCACCTCCCTCCACTCCTGTCAGCACCCTTCACTCCTGTCACCTCCCTCCACTCCTGTCACCCACTGCCACTCCTGTCACCCGCTGCCACTCCTGTCACCTCCCTCCACTCCTGTCACCCGCCGCCACTCCTGTCACCTCCCTCCACTCCTGTCACCACCCTCCACTCCTGTCACCCGCCGCCACTCCTGTCACCTCCCTCCACTCCTGTCACCTCCCTCCACTCCTGTCACCACCCTCCACTCCTGTCACCACTCTCCACTCCTGTCACCACCCTCCACTCCAGTTACCACCCACCATTCCTGTCACCTACTGCCACTCCTGTCACAGTGCCACTTCTCAAGAGGAATGGTTTAACAGTTTAATCCAATTAAATTGGAAGTAAATTTGACATATCTGAATTTATCTCAGTCCCACTATCTCTGTAATGGCCTTGACGAGGACAGGAAGCCGGTGGCTTCTCAAAGGTTCCTCATTTGTCTGGAGTCATGTGTACGTGTAGGAATATGTCCGTTATTTGAAGGTGATGTTTTTTGTCTTAACATCTCCGGCATTTGATGCAAAGACCCCTTTCTTCCTCTCAGGATCCTAATGTGTTAAATTTTGCACGCTCAGGAGATGGGGGCGTGGAACCCCCCCACCGGCTCCAGGGAGTTGTACGCAGGCCATATAATTATGTTTTACGTACTTCCATGTACAGCTTCTCCCCCGAATCAACCTACCCTGGCTTTGTGCCCTGGTGAGGCCACTCCAGACCGACAACCAGAGCCCAACTCCATAGTCTCCTGAGACTGATGGATGCCTACTACTAATACTTCTTCCATTGGGAAGCAAGTCACATAAACCAATGTTTTGTGCGTTGGGTGAAAACAAACACCATAGGCAGTATAACATTTTATTAATTTAAATTATTAATAATAAATACTTGCAACTGCAGTTGCTAGTAATTTGCAACTGAATCTGCTTGAAATTATTGAGCTAGAGTTGCAACTGCAGTTGTTAGAAATTTGCAACTGCAAGTTGCATTCTTTTCTACAGTTTTGAGCTTTTTATTTTAGTACAAATATTGTATTTAAAGACATGCCAAAATGTGTTCAGAAATGTTCACAATTTTATTATTTAAAACTCATGATTCACTTAATGACACTACAAATTATGTAAACTAAATTATTGTATACCCACTTGTGTACATTATTTAATGAATTCAGCGGCAAAACTGTGTAGCCAATTCCCCAACATATCTTGCCTCACAAAACATGTGTTGGTGCCTTTGGTAAGAACAGCCGAACAAATGTTACAATGTGACTAGTTATCAACCCTGGAATATAGTTCATCATTCACAACTAATGATATATGTACTGTATACTAGTTTTTTGTTGCTTTTGATTCAGCTATTCTGAAAAAAAAGGCTTCAAGCAGCACAGGCTATGGTGAGCCCATCGTACTCACCTGGTACAGATGTGCTGATACATACTAGTCAAGACACTCATAATGGTAAATATCTGTCCATATCCATATATATCCACCCGGGCTGTGGTGGGTATGTGGGCCTGCGGGCCGCTCCAAGCAACAGCCTAGTGGACCAAACTCTCACAAGTCAAGCCTGGCCTCGGGCCGAGCTTGGGGAGTAGAAGAACTCCCAGAACCCCATCAACCAGGTATCAACCAGGTATCAACAAGACTATAAGTCATCACATGCAGAGGGGCATTATACTGCATACTATGCAACACCAAAACTTATACAGGATAGCTATACACCATGATGGCAGTTAAACCTAATATTTTATTAGAAATATAAATCAAGGTACAGTTGACAATACAGTACATGTAACAAAATATTTACTGACCTACAGTAATTCTTGGCCATTATATTTTAACAATAAAGCTCAAGTGTTTTCTTTCAATATTCCTTAAGAAAACCATGAATTATACAGTACTTCTAAAATCACACTGGCATTATAATCTCTTTTTAATAAATATCAATATAATATTTAATGTAAAAATCATTATTTAACGAGTACAATTAAAAACTACAATATTGTATTTTCTAACTTTTAAAAGAACATAGTCAAGCCGTTTCATTTAATCAGTTATTTGCAACAAGCTAATATATTTCCTGACACTTAATCTTCTGTCCTTCAAAAAGAAACATGAACAGAAACATTTATTTACCACTAGTATTATTTTATTTTATTTTAGATTTTGGCCAGCACAAATGAGTAACACTTACTGTGGCCCATTCATATTAAAAGATACACATAATACCTTTTTGAGTCACTGTGACTTGCATATTACAGTACTTGCACATGGATTTTCTATTTCAGCAAAATCATATATTACTTATGGATATTAGAAATAGTATAGTAGGATTGGTCTACTCCTAACTAGTGAAAACTAACTTGCATATATCATATACACATAAGAAAGCAACATTAATTAAAATAAAAAGCAAAATAATTGATAATAAATTTCATAAGAAAGACAACATGTCGGTACAATACTGACAAAATATAAAGTGCTTCAGAATACAAATCTTAATACCACGTAATAAATACTGTACTGTCACTTCAATGAGTAGTGTATCAAAACCCACCAAACATTTGCTGTTTATTAAGAAAATACTATAGCTGTGGAACAACTTGTATTATTTGATATTTTTAATGTAGAAATAAATATTAAAAATAAATCTTAAACAAGTGTATCCTCATTTCTGATATATTCTCCAATATCCGCTTGATGAAAGCACACAATATCCATGGGGTCAGCATGTCGGCACTCGGCTGTTGCCTTAGCTGCTACGCCAAAGCCCTACAATGGAAAATTTATTTCAAGTTGCAAAGTGTATTAGGTGTTAATAGAATAATGCAAGGAATGCAAATGCCATCGGAAGATGTCATGCAGAACTTAGTAAATGATGAGATAGGCGAGGAAAGGAGTCTATATTTCCAAAGTAAATTGTATAATAGATTGAACCTTAGTAAGTCTGCTGCTAAAATTATCCAGGCATGGTGTGATGATTAAGATATTGTCAAAATAGTGAAGCTACCTCACAGTACTGGGCATAATGCTGGAGAAAGCTAGTGACAGTGAAGTTCAAAATCTACAGGAAACCCATGTACAATAACAAAAGTTTTATCATTAATATTTATTTACACCATAATAATAAAACAACATGAGGATTAATAGCTGGATTCTTTCTCCGGGCATTTATAAGTTTTAACCAGTAGTTGCTTGAAGATGAGTGTCAGTACTTCATTGCATCCTTCCTAAACCAGAAATATCCTATATTCTATACCTCATTATGAAATAAAGAAAGCAGGCAACAATGATCAACAGTAACACTAAACAGTACCAAAGCAATGGCTTATTGTCCTGACAGGACAGTCGGCAAACTACATAACCACCACCTGCAATATTATCAATATATATAGTAGTTGTACACAAAATACCCACTATAATCAAATACCCTTGTCAGAAGAAAAACTATTAAGTCACCAAAGTACAGCAAAACAGCATTCCTACAGACCAAATACTCCACCTAATGTTAAACAAATAATTGTAAATATTTCAGGTTAAAGTCAATATTCTCATTTACAAATTCTAGTGTTTTGCTTCCAGCATTCTCACATAATTTGCTCATCTCACTTCCATAAATCCTCTTGTTTACTCATCACTCCATTGCTCCCTCTTATTTGTTACTACCGGACTTTGTTGTACATAATGCTTACTGTGTAAAATTTCTACATATATATTGCACTGTAAATTTCCATTAACAAAAGTTCTTAATTAAACTTACCAATGGAATGTCCTTTGATGAATAAACAACAACACCAGCATATTTTGGAGTATTTTCTGAAATTCTTGACAGGCCAGATTTATAAACATGATTACCGTACATGAAATTTTGTTCAGCAGATTCTTTGAGCCAAATTTTGTTCTGTAACAAAACCAAAATCTATTATTATTATTACCATATAACAATATTTTTAATACTAAAATTTTATGTAAATTGGTCAAATTAAACAAATAAAAGTGAAAGCAATTAAGTTTTTCTAAACTGCTGCTTATTGCAATGTACAGCAGAGTAAAGTATTAGGATTAAGGATACAAAGGGCTTTACAGTCAAAAAGTGTACAAGTACATTTTTAACAGAACATCAGCTATTTGTAAAACATGCTTTGTTGAATATCTTTTGCACAAGTGAAAGAAAATTAAAGTTAGAAATATATATATATACAGTATGCTGTAATGAATAATGAATTACTATTAATTACCTTGTTGCAAAAACAACATGACCTCAAATATCTGATCTACATTATTAGAAAAACTCTAAAAAGACTTTTTTTTTTTTTTGCTAATGGCACCTATGTTTGAAAGCTTGACCCAGGGAACTGAACTTTTAAACTGTGGAAGAAAAATACAAAGCAGTTTTGCATTGTTAATGCTTAACACTCATACATACAATACTTTTAATTTATTATTCATATGACCTTAGCAGAAAATATTAAGTAAAAATTATGCCTGTCAACATAAGTAGTCTAGCTAAAGCAGGTAGGCAGCCTGGCTAGAACAAATAAAGAGGAAGAAGACACATCTTAACATGGAAAAATCAAGCACTGATTGTAATGAAATTCACCATTTTATACTCCCCATACTTAGAGACAGGAAGCCTGTTAAACTTATTAAGGCCCCCCCTTCCTAGGCCAACTACTGAACTCCTGGAAGATGCAGTCCACAGCAGTTTTCTAACTCCTAAGTACCTATTTATTAGGTGAAGATACCAGAAGTATACTTGGAGTGGGTTCTGGGAGCTCTACTCGCCAAGCCCAGCCTTTAGCCAGACTATGGCTTTTGATCAGATGAATAAATGGGCATATCAACAGGGATACTAATAAGGTACAGTATATATTAAATATATCAACACAAAACAATGGATATAAATTAGATAAGTTTAGATATACAGTACTGTACAAAAGACCTAGGTCAAGTCTGGTTTGAAAACAGGGTTGTCGGTTTGTGTTACAGGTTACTGGGTAACGTAATACATGTGGGATCACTAGTATTTCAAGCCAAGGTTAGACATATATATGAATGAATTTGGGTGGATATAAATACTGCAGGAGCTATCACGTATTGGCCAGTGGGTCTTCTGCAGTTTCCTCGATTCTTATGGTCTTACGAAATTAAACACTGCACAAACACTTCCACTATGCCCTTTCAGCTATGATCTGATTGAGCTTACCACTGTACCATCATTAAAGCCATACAGTATAAAGTTACAAAATTCTCTCCCCAATATACCTGACAATATGGATGAAGAAACTCCAAGGCTGTAATGTGTACCAGGAACTTTCCTCCCTTTGTTATTTTGCCAAAACAAACTCCCAGCGATATAATATTTTCACGAGGTAAAGTTGCTGCAAATTTCATAATGTCCTCTTTGACGTAGTAAATTCTGCCATTGTGAAGACGGAAGCAATAGAGCCCATCAGAGCGTTCAAGTAGGGCCCTGACATTACTACCAATGCTGTTGAAAGAATATAAAGTAATTAATGTTCACCACCCAGAAAAATACGAAAACTGGGAGAGGAAATAAATTCAGAAGGTAACTCGATCACTTCAAGACAATAAAGGCTTTTGAAATTATTGAAAACATGGCAGATGCACTTTAATGCTGACTAAAGTTGGATTCTGAAGTTAGGAAATGATGATAGTTACTACAAATCATCTGGATAGCACTGAAATTGCAAAATCTGATAACAAAAAAGATCCGGAGGGGTCATGATTAGTAAGAGTTTAAAACCAAAAAATTTGAAATCAGGGAATGAAGGAAATAGGATACTGGTATTTATTTCTGGAGACATTACGAATAAGCACTTAAATGTTGATCTTTAGCTACATCTTGCTCTTGTTTGGCCAAATTTACATTAGGAAATTCAATTTTGGTCACTATTCTATAGAATGGACTGTTCTACACCATACTGGAATCTGACCCAACTGTCAGTTAGATTAACTCAAGTATATGATTCCAGAAATGTGCGACCATGCTGGAAAAGATGAACATCCAAACATACTTTTAATACACAGTACTTTATGTTAAAATTAATGGATGTTTTGGGGGACGGCCGCTGCATTAATTTAACGAGCCTGTCCCGAGAATGGGTTACTTTCAGTTTGATTAGATACCACAAAAGACTGCCCCAGCAACTACAAGTGGGGTGAATTGCTGAACAGGCAAAGCTATAATTAGGCTGAGAATCGTCCCTTTATATAATTATTATTAAAATCGAACTGACTCAGACTTTCATCCAGCACACATCAATGAAGAGAGTGAAGCCATTCACACATGTGTGTGAATGCTTACTAGTTCTTCAAGACTTACTAGTTCTTCAGCTTGCTGAACACCAGAGTGGTCTCTTCGTTATTTAATGGCCTCATCCTGCTATTTTTGTTTTATTATCCCGTCAACTACCGCAGGCTGAGTGTCCGCCGCCTCAGACTCCCTTCACCGTGTAAACAAACCCACGTGGCTCTCCTCTATTTTGTTTTTCATCTGAAACATACCTTAAATTAATTAAACTTGAAACGGAAAATAAAATAAAATTAATAGTATAATGAAATGTTTGATATTTAAAAAATAGGATTAAGTATTTGGGTTCGAAATGCTTCTTTATCCTCGTCAGACCGCCCGGTCACTGGTCATTGGTCATGTTGGGGGCTTGCGTGCACAAATAATTCAAATATATAATTAATTCCTTGTATATTTTTGTAATTCACATATACTGAGGTACAAGTTCAAGTTCAAGTGTGTTTATTGAGACAAGAAAAAAAATACATCTCAAAGGGATAGAGTAGCTTAGGCTATTTATACTCCCCATACTGAGGTAATAGTCTGAAACTTGAAGAAGGCTAAACCATCGCATTAATAACTGTATGCCCACTACATTTCACTAGTAGCTTTGCTCTATAGTAGCTTTACTAAATTACAGCCTTGTAATTCCTTTCTGTTATAGTTTACTTGAGTTTACCCGAGAGCCACAAACACAGGGAGGGATGGGTGGTGGCTGAGTGGACAGCGTTCTAGACTCGTGGACCTAGGGACACAGTGTTGCCAGATTGGGCTACTTTTTTTTTGAGATATATACAAGAGTTGTTACATTCTTGTAGAGCCACTAGTACGCGTAGCGTTTCGGGCAGGTCCCTGGAATACGATCCCCGCCGCGAAGAATCGTTTTTTCATCCAAGTACACATTTTACTGTTGCGTTAAACAGAGGCTACAGTTAAGGAATTGCGCCCAGTAAATCCTCCCCGGCCAGGATACGAACCCATGACATAGCGCTCGCGGAACGCCAGGCGAGTGTCTTACCACTACACCACGGAGACTGTAATTCTTTTACACGGGGCTTTTGAGAGCCCCGCGCTCCCAAATTTTTAATTTCGCTACTTGCTACTTTATAACTAGCTATAAATAATTCTAATTAATAATAATTGTAAATATTAATTAATACTAAATAATATTATTTTATAAATTAGTCCCAATTCAATGCAGAGTTTTCTTCCAAGCACAGAAACTTGTAAATATAAATACAAGATAATAGATAGATCGATAAATAAATAGACAACTTACAAATATTGCACCAAGTAATGGCGAGAGGAAAAAACTAGACAGTATACATTACATTTGAAATTAATAATGGATGAATGATAATAAATTGGTGTATGTTAGTAAGTATACCAAAGTCCATTTAATGGCAGAATTTAGCCATTTTGTGTAAAAACTTTTATATCTCATATTATTAATTATAACAGTAATCGAAAAAAGTCATAGTTTGTATATACAAGAGATGAAACAGAGAGCCATGAGCTAGAGCGATGTGCTGAGTCCATAAGGAGGCCGAGCTTTCAGAAATACCGTCCTGTGATTGGCTGTTGCGGGGAATACCAACACTCTTTTATGAATAAAATTTAAACTAAGAAATAGGTCCTTGTGCACAACAACAAGGTTGTTGTGAAAAACAACAACAATTTCTGTTTTGCACCTGACAGAAATCTCCATCTAACTGAATAATTTACTCGAATAAGAGGGCAGAGCAGTGTATCATTATTAGTGTTAAGGCAACCCCCAATAATAACGTCACAAGTTAGGTAGCCATGCAGCCCATTTTTATATAACATCTGTTATATCCTGCAATATTTAATTATCACTTTATTAACACTTTAAATAATTAACACTTCACTTTTTTTGGGTAAATTAAAGTTAAAGCAGAATTCCATAAGCAGGACTGGTGGGCTGAACTAAGATGATTTACTAAGTAGATGGCACCTATTTCTCGAAAAGGTAGCAATAAAATACGCTTTCTAGTTCTTTATTTTTAAAATTAAGACCAGGGATTTTGTCTAACGAAGCTGCAAGCTAAAACACCGTTATCCTATAATGTTCATCTGTAGCTTGACCCTAAATACTCGTTTATTAAACGAATTTATTGTTAGAGTTCATTAGGAATCAACTTTGTTGAAGGCCGAGCTTCCAACAAATACCTTCCTGTGATTGGCTGTTGCTGGGACTGCCAACACTTATATGAATAAAATGCAAAATAAGAAATACGTCCTTTTAATCAATAACTTTGGTGTTGTTGTACAAAAGAATAACAATTTCTGTTTTATACAAGACAGAAATTTTCATCTAACTGAATAATGTAGACCAATAAGAGGGCGGAGGCATATTGTATCGCCGATATTATTTATGTGAGGCAACACCCACTGATGACGTCACAAGTTAGGTAGCCAGCCCATGTTTCTGTAACACTCGTTACATCCTGCAGTGTTTAATTATCACTATATTAATACTTTTAAATACTTAACATTTCACTTTTTAGGTAGATTAAAGTTGAAGCAGAATGTCATAAGCAAGGATGGTGTGCTGAATAAAGATAATTTATTAAGTGGATGGAGCCTTTAGCTGATCCCTTCCTGTGATTGGCTGTTGTGTGAATGTCAACAAAGAGGTTCTACCAATGACATGCCATTTATTATGCACCCCATACCATCTGTGGGCGGAGTTTGGAACTTCCTACCCGAGCACAACAACCCGCCTTATGGGTTGCTGTTTGGCTATTTTTAGTGCGTTGGAAAAAAAAGAGATGGCGCTAGTTGTATTTTGTGGGGTAATTTGTTATAAGTGTAATTTGATGTCAACAGATGGCGTAAGCTGTATCTTATGGCCACTGTTGACCTGCCAGTTAATAGTGTTCTCTTCTGCCGACAGATGGCCTCAGCTGTTATTATTACTTCCGAATTTCCTTTAAACACTGATCTATAAATAAATCCCTTGGCTTATTTATGATAAGGTTTTATACCATTTATGATAAGTATTAGATAACTGGAGTTCCGCAATTACTTTTATTTATCAACTGTTCAGGATATATCCATCATATTATGTCTGGTTTGGACGTACTGCTCTCGACTGATGAAGATTAAGCCACCCCGCATTTGCCTTGAGGTACTATAGCTAGCTAGTTATAGTTAAAAACTATATAGCTAGTTTTTTATCTATAATGTGTAATATTTCATATAGAAGAGGAGGCACGGCCATGAATAGCCCGTAAATACTGCTCTCGTAATATTATTCAGGGGGGGGGGAACTATCAAGTGAAAGCGCCAAGCCATTACGATTTTTTTTTTTTTTTTTTTTTTTTTTAGCAGGGATAATCCTGCGCGGGCCCTAAGCCTCTGGCTGGCCCACTAAGTGATGCTTGTTTCTGTTTTACCTGGGCGGAGGATGAGTATGTATGACCCGTATGGCCGCTTCAGTAAGATTTTGCCATATGTGTTTAACAACTTCCTCTGCTCTGTCGAATCGAAGGTGAAATCTTAACGGGTTTGTAACTGTGCACTGTGTTAGATAATGTTCCAGTGGTCTGTCGGGCATTTCTCCACAGTGTTGACATTTCCTCTCACCTTCCGGAACCTGTAAGCCTAATCCATTACGACTATAGCACTCGGAAGGGATCAGGATACGGATTTGGGATGGAACGGGGGAAAGGAATGGTGCCCAAACTTTTGGGCGGTCGGGGATTGAACGCGGACCTGTAGGAAACGAGACCGTTGCTCTACCGTCCAGCCCAAGTGGTTAAGCGTAATATTATTAAAACAACAATTTATGCATATAATAACAGCATTTGACACTAAAAATACTTGGATATATTGAAATTTGGTAGTGAATTCCAATCTAGGAATCTCCTTTGACTAAACTGTACTTTTTAACCATTTTTATGTACTACTTATTATTAAATTATTAAGTACTTACTATAATAATTAAATAAATTATTTTATTTAATATTTAAATTAAATGATAAAATAATAGGTAATAGGTAATATTTTTTATGTACTACTACTTATTATTAAATTATTAAGTACTTACTATAATAATTAAATAAATTATTTTATTTAATATTTAAATTAAATGATAAAATAATAGGTAATAATAAATCATTGAGTAAGGGGACAGGCAGCCAGTGTATATATACATGTTAGGCTTATACCAAGGTGCCACAAAGGTGCCAAATTAAAGACTGTGTGCTGCCGGGGCGGGCCCAAGGGCTGCTGGCGGCCCTGGCCAGGCTGAACTTCCGCGCCCTTATAATCACCATTGTTTAATAATCTTCACAGGGAGAAACAACTACAAATATAGGAATAGTTTATTACAACATACACGGTAAAGAAAACAGCTCGGAAACTAAGGAAATAAAGCTGCCGAAAGAACATTAAAGTCTACTTCAAGTTCAAGTATGTTTATTGGTGGTTCGTTCATGCTAGGCTTGCAGTTACACAACTGGTCGGGGTCCGCTTACACAACTGGTCGGGGTTCGGGGTGCACAAACCACCACTCACTGGTTGAATAGGGGATGCTTAATGAACTATCCACCTCTGGCGGCAAAAAATCAATATATATATATATATATATATATATATATATATATATATATATATATATATATATATATATATATATACATATATATATGTGTGTGTGTGTGTGTGTGCAGAAATAATATTAATAAAACAATTAACATCGTGTAGTGTACTCTATACATCAAAATATATTACTTTGAAACCCATATCATTCACTAAAAAAAAATGGGCTACTCTTCGCTACTTTTAGACCGTCAGCTCGCTACTTTCAGCAATTGAGATCTGGCAACCCTGTAGGGACGGAAGTTCGATCCCCTGGCACCGCCGGGAAAACAAATGGGCAGTTTCCTTCACCCTGATGCCCCTGTTACCTAGCAGTAAATAGGTACCTGGGAGTAAGAAAGCTGCTACGGGCTGCTTCCTGGGTGTGTGTGTGTGTGTGTAGGGAGAAGTAGTCAGTAACAGTTGATTGATTGACAGTTGAGAGACGGGCCGAAAGAGCAGAGCTCAATCCCCCCAAAAAATATGTGGGAGAAAGAGCAAGCACAATTAGGTGAATACTAGTGGCCTCGACAAGGACCGGAAGCCGGCCGCTTGTCGAAGGTCTCCGCATTTGCCTTGAGGTACTATAGTTAGCTAGTTATAGTTAAAAACTATATAGCTAGTTTTTTATCTACAATGTGTAATATTTCATATAGAATAGGGTAACAGTACATTGTTGTGTATACCTAAGCTTGTTAATAAAAAAAATGATCTTTTCCAGCCTTTTTAATTTTTTTCAAAAGTTAATTAACAGACGTTTGGCATTTACGGCTTCGGCGGGTAGGCGGGTCCATGCAATTCCATGAGGCTTTTCATGAGGCCATGAGGCCTCCTGAGGATGGAAAGCCTTATGAGACCATGAGGCTTTCCATATCCTGCTCTCAGTCCTGTATTGTAGCTTGTTGGGCTTGAAACCGTTGCTTCTTGTTTGTGTTGCATCAGACCTTTTGAAGAAATTTTCTGGATCAACATCCTTCAAACTGAAATTGAAATTGAAATAAGTTTATTGAGGTAAAATACACACAAAGGCATGAGGTAATTCAAGCTATTCTCACCCCGTTCAGTACATCGTGTTAATACATACATATACACACATCACAAACAATAAACATATTACCGAACATTCTGAGAGATAAACATATACATTTCCTATCCTTCAAATTGTTCAGTATTTTAAAAGTAAGAGCGGACAATCAACACAACATGAAAAATGAAAAGTGTTTTATTATTATAATTTTATTACAATAGTAGTTCATGAATCATTACAAAATCACGACATGTGCAATATATCAGTATAAACATAGGATTCAATTGCACCTCAGGGACACTTCCTTCCCCTCCTCCCATAACACAAGTTATCGACTTGCTAATACAATACTGAGCGCGCCTCCAGTGTGCTGTCGTCAGTGCCAGGGAGCGGCCGTGTCCACTGTCACCATTCCCGTGATTGATTCCTGATTCGAAAGTAATGTAAATTTGAGTTTTTGCATATAGTCTATGAGTCTTATGTGCCTGTCTATACAAGGGTAGATTAAGGAATTCCACATTCTGGGTCCCTTACCCAGAATGTGTAAGGGACCTTACATATTTATTTATTTATTTATTTATTTATTTATATACAAGAAGGTTTATTGGGTTTGTGAGAATACATAGCATAGTATTTACAATCGTGTAAAGCCACGACTTTTGCATGTCCAAAGAAGTTCATTTTTTCTTTTGCTTGTTAAAACTGACAATAATTCTAAGGTACCGATAGTGATCAACTCGTTTGAGAGTTTCACAATTAATTTGTATGTCTTCGTTTTCCCCTGAGATGAGGGCAGGCTTCTTTGTTTGAGAGTAAAATCGAATTCAGTACATTCCCTTCAGAGGAGTTGAATGGACTATTTAACCGTTCCCAAGGTGGCGGCTGGTATCATGACATCATCTGCGTATTCCACTTGTTGTACTCCTTCAGGAAATTCAATCTTAGTTATGGCGTTCATAAAGATGTTGAAAAGTTTGTAACTTAGCACACATCCATGAGGCTTTCCGTGTTCCATACTCATTTTACTCGAAACTGTTGCGTCGAAGCAGATCTTGGTTTCCCTTCCTGTAATAGTCTTCAGTCTCCCCTTGACACCCATGCATGCAAGCTCATCTAGGATGACAATAACAAAATAACTGTCTATATAGTTGGTTGTGTTCCACTTCTTTGATTAAATCGCTAATCGCATCCCCTAGAAGAGTTCTTGCCCGCCTCAGACGAGTGCCAGGAAGTTTGTCCCAGCCTATAGCCGCAGTAGGTCTTTAGCTGGATGACATCACAGTTCTGTGCACTTACGTTGCTCAGCCTAGCCGCAGTATAGTTAAACGGCTATACACAGTTCGGTACAGCCACATTTGCGTGTTAAAATATTATATTATTCAGGTCACAACAATAGATTGTTGCAGATAGGATCATTGTACTAAATGTTTAATACACTTTATTGCACGCTATCATTGTGTCCTGAAGCGCCACTGACGTGACCATTCTTGTGTCAGGTGAAGACCTGGTGAACTCCCAACGATTATCTGACCTTATGTCTGGTGACGCTCTCGAGAGCCCCTGACGGGTTGTCCTTGCCTCTGGTGTCAGAAGCACCACCGAACGCCCTGTCAGCCTTGCCAGCGTGACTCGACCACCGCCTCAGGACACCCACATCCAATACAGGAACAGCAGCAGACGGAGCAGTAACAGACGAAGATGATAAAGGAGGAGAGCACTTCAGCTTGTCCGCCTGCATCACAAGTGTGGCTGAGGTCCTGTGAGAAGGAGACACTCCAACCCGTCCAGGGTAAAGTTACAGGTAAACTACCGGGCTGAAAGTTCCAGGTCTACACTTACTATACCCAAGACCATATCCTCTTTATTTCACATGTATATACTACCCCGGGTCAGTCTCACTCGCCCAGGCCCATCACTCCTCCATCCTCAAATGTCTTCACTCCTCCAAGCTCAGATCTTCCCTGATACACTACCAGGTACATTTCCACTCTTACAGGTTTATATGAACTTTCCCAGGTATATAGTTATTGTAATTTTTAATATTTTAAAATACTACTAAACATTACTTTTAAATTAAAGCTAGACTTAGCTAGCTCAACGAGGCACACATATAAAAAATTGATCGTTTACTTAAGCACATTTTTAGTAAAATCTTTAATTTATTTGCTAAAATTCATTATTCTAAAGGTAAAGCAATTTCAGGTCAGTGTGAGTAAACACAAGGAATATCGGCTCAGTCGCAACAACTCTTTAATAATTCACTCGACCAGACTGTGGTATTGATCAGCCACAGTATTGAATCGGAAGCTGTCATCGACCGGTGCCACTCCATAAGATTGATTTAACCTACCCGAAGCTTAATATCGATATCAGGTCGTTCTGATTTAAGGTGACTGCATAAGACCCCTGTTACGGCCAATTAATTAAGGTAATTGTAGGTGATGTTATCACATCCCACATTTAGCTTTAGGGTTTACTGCAGCATATTTGCGGTGTAAAGCTGCTTTCAACTGCATGTTGCCTATGTTGCAGGGAAATTGCCTGAATGGCTTAATGGCCGACTGACGCGTAACGGGCCAGGCAAGGTGCAGTATGGAAATACTCGCTACAACCACCTGTTTGATGGCTCTGCATACATACACCAGTTTAACATCAACAATGGCAAAGTCACCTACCAGTCAAGGTTTGTTCTTCTGACATGTTAATTTATGCTGTTCAAGTAATTATATTTTCTTAAACGTTTACCAAAATCAAATCAAATAGTTTTAATTAGCACCAACGCAACTGTTTGCAGGTATCTTCAAAGTGACGTTTATAAACGTAATTCAAAGGCAAACCGGATTGTCGTGTCAGAATTTGGCACCGCAGCCTACCCGGATCCTTGTAAGACTCTTCTGCAGAGGTAATATTAATAATAATAATGATATACTATAATGACAATATTTAGACAAGAGTGCATACATAAAGACGATACACGAACAGTGGGGGATTCACGAATTATAGAAAGCTATGTCGTCCCTATGTAAAAGGGCAGATATATGGGCGATAGATGTACTCACTGACTTGGAAGCCTCGTAAGATTGCATAATAAAAATAACAAAACCCAGGATGCCTAATAAAAGCCTTACAGTTCTATTAAATTTAAAATGTTTGAATATCGGTCACATGCACACAGGTTTGCGAGTTTCTTCACTCCACTGAGTGCGGCGGAGGTGACTGATAATTGTGTAGTGAACGTGTGTCATTTCGGAGACCAGCTGTACGCACTCACGGAGACCAACGCCATGAGATGCATCCACCCGGAGACCCTGGCCACCATCGGGGGAAAGGTGCGAATGGAACTTCGTTTTAATTTGCAGTAAGATGCAATATGGCTACATTTACTATGTAAAGGTTTGGGAGAAAATGACCATTTTGTATATGACTGCGAATATGGACTAAATTTGCAATGATGATTAAGTGCTTATAAAGCGTTCTCATTTTAACCAGACCCGGTTGGACCAGTACATAGCTGTCAACACGGCCACCGCCCACCCTCACGTCGACCCTGATGGCACTGTCTACAACATGGGCAACTCCTACCACGGGAAAACGGGACCAACTTACAACATTATTAAATTCCCGCTGCCTAAGGTGGCTGAAGGTAAGCTTACACACACATACACACACCAGGCCCCAGATGGGGCCTCTTGTCTACTCTTGTCTTGGCGAGACCAAAGAGCCAAAGCTCAACCCCCGCAAGCACAAATAGGTGGATAGCGCACATGGCTCGTAATTCTGTGGCGCGGGTTCGATTCCCGCACCAGGCAGAAACAAATGGGCAAAGTTTCACCCTGAATGCCCCTATTACCTAGCAGTAAATAGGTACCTGGGAGTTAGTCAGCTGTCACGAGCTGCTTCCTGGTGTGTGTGTGTGTGGTGTGGAAAAAAAGTAGTTAGTAAACAGTTGATTGACAGTTGAGAGGCGGGCCGAAAGTGCAAAGCTCAACCTCCGCAAACACAACTAGGTGAATACACACACACACACACACCAGTGAAAGAACAGGTAATGAAACTTAGAACAGGCGAGGACAGGTATGCAGTATACTGTATATACTCACCCTATATTCTGTCCTCACGATTGGGTAGAAATAGCCTAAGCTATTCTATCCTTCTGATATGTATTTTATTCTTAATAAATTTACTTGAACTGTAAAAAAATGCAACGGTTTTGCCTAAGCAGAAGCGTCAGAACCTTTTGGCAACTCACCTAACATATTGGAGCCGATATGCCGCCTGTCATTTTACTGAACACACTACATTTTTTACGTTATCGATCGTAAAAATTATGATGGTTTATGGAACTTGAAATCACCGCAATATTCAAGCTTCATGGCCCAAAACTATCGACTTCGGTAGATTGGGTGGGTAGCCTATAGATTCTGGTGCTTCTAGTCAGGCAAAACTGCTACATTTTTTACGGAGTGGTAATCAAGAGAACAGCCGCTATTCAGCAATAGTGCTGTATTAACGTCAGGTCGCAGAATATACAGCACTATCCTAGCTTACTAAAGCAATGAACAATAATATTAAACAGGACTTAACAAGAGACTCATTGAGGCAACCTCTTATTAGTAACACCACCTCGCACAAACAAATAAAGACGACCAAGTCCCCAGTAAAGAAGAGCTTAGTGAGCTCTTGTCTTACATACGTAATAAATCAATAATCGATCATCGAGCCAGAGTCGTGTAGGGTTGCAAATTGTGATGTCGACTTTTAAAGAAGGGAGATATATTATCTGCGTCCAAGTGTTGTCCAATTAGCTTAACGTCTAGTGTAGGAAAATTGCTTGAATCGTTAACTGCAAAAGCCATTCGTTTACATTTTGAAGAACGCATATTAATAAAGGCTTCACAACATGGTTTTACTAAGGGCCTCTCGTGCTTACCTAATTTACTCAATTCTTTTCCATTTCATTTCAAGCAGTTGGTGGGGAAAGGGACTGCGACATACTTACCAGCAACCACCATGATGTTGCTAAGATTAATCTCCTGCAGCCAACTCCATTGGCTCTAGGGGTTCCAGACACCAGCTGGGACACAAACACTAGTCACCCAGTCAAGGTACTGACCACCCAACATACCAAATACTCAAACAAATGACACACACACATACCAACGCATGGTGGACAGGCCACTGAACTTTCAAATCTCTCTACACCCGTATCCTCTTCCAGAATTTCACCTCCCCATCCCTCTACCTCCCCCATCCTTTCCAAACCCTCTGGACATCAAAGCAAAGCAACAGCATCTTCAATTGAATAGTTTTTCTTAGTGCAAAACAGTCAGAATTTATTGTGTGACCTATAAATGTCATGTAAGCGGTTGTTTATCGTGCACCACATACTCATCTTGTGAGCAGTATAGGGCCTGACATGTGACTAATACATCATACAGAATGTTTTCGGACGTGTAAGTATATGCAGTGTGTGTCAATGTATGATCAGCATAGCTAGTAATGTGCTCGTTAAGTTTACTAGGCAAATAATATAACTGGGTACTCAGTAAAATATTAAATACAGTATAACTGCATGGAGACATCTGCCAGTCGAGTGCCTAGTTGAAAGTCTCTTGTTACACTCCTATGCCATTGGATCAATACAAATGACTTCGTATTTGGTAACCTCTGATTCAACAAAGAAGCCAACCACCAACATCCATCTGGCGAGCTCATTCGCAATGGCATATTGATTTACAAAAAAATATATAATTGTGGACCGCATTATCCACAGAGTTGGCTCTGAAGTGAGGGAATCCGACACGAGTGGTAGCCTCTGAAGCGTCGAGACTCTCGTCTTCCTCTGGAAACCCCACACGGGTTACCTCACTCTTACCTGTCCTTTCCTTCCTGTGTTACCTGGTGTACCTGGTGGATGGTTGCTGGTGGACGGTTGCTTTTCGTAACCTACGAGTCGATTAACTTGTTAATTGTTAATTTGTTGTTATACACTGTCCTCGGAATCGAAGACCTGACCTAATTTTACCCAACCCATCCAAACCTAACCTGATTTAACTTTTTTTTTATTATTATTATTTTCTACCACAGACGTGGCCACACATTTACAATGCTAACTAGCATATATACATTTTCTTCTGTCCTCCATGGACAGGGTGAAAGATTTGTCAAACATACAGTTCAGAGATTTATTGAACAAGCACAGAAGGTGATCGTAGTGCTTTTAAAATGTTAGGCTAAGCTACATACGTAAATACATAGATACACAGATTAATGAATGCATTAATGTGAATTTATAATGGTGAAATGTAATTCTGATCAGCTTTATACTTTATACACATACATACACACACACATACATACACACACATACATACATACATATATACACATACATACACATATATTTGTCTCTTTTACTCTGACAGGGTGAGATAGCTGACAAGAGAAACTAGTGTGCAATTAAGAACTTAACCACTGAAGGTGATTAAGATGCTTTTACAAGCTCAGGTTATATAGTTATATTACATGGTTAATCTAGGGTACAAGTCCAATATATCATCAAGTGTTCCAGTACTCATATAGTAGTTACAGAGTTCAGCATACCTCAGCCCAGGAGGGCGAAAGTCAGGGCGATTTGATCGTTCGCTCTTGGTAGTGGCTCTTGTTGTAGTGGAATGTCTCAATGAGTAGGCTTAGTTTGAAAATAAGAGTCATTAATAACTACAGCAAGGATATTATACATCTCATACACTTTATATAAAAAAAACATCTCATACACTTTATAAAAAAAAAAACTTGTTTATTGTGGGAATATCCTAATGGCTAGGCTATCCTTGCTTGTGCTTACTCTAGAAGGGTGTCTAGGTTTAATGTCGCGTGTGTTCTGAAGTGAGTACTTATTCAACACTTGAATAATGAGGGATAGATTTGGTGATCAGTGGTTAAGATACATATTGACTTGAGAATGGTCCAGGACGGACCGAAACGTCGTCGTCCCTTCACCTTCTAGTGTGTGGTCTGGTCAACATTCTTCAGCCACGTTATTATGACTTCGCCTGCGTTAAGGTACATACATTTAGGAAATATTTGTGTTTTGTTTCTTATTGTCGGAGACAGGAAGCCTCACTCCGCAGTAAGAAACGTGTCCAATGTCTCATCCTTTCCGGAAACCTGTTGTGAGCCGACTAGGTTGACCATTGCTGGATTTATTTCGCTATTACTACTTATTTAAGTCTTACGTAGTGCTTAGACTGCGATAAATTAACTAGTGCTTTACTTGGGTATACATTAGCAGTGTTTGTATGTGCTTAGTACAGCAAGGCAGTAGGTATCTGCCAGTCGGCGTCCAGACTTGGGCGCTGATAATACATTTTGGTTCAGTGACAACGTTCTATGCACTATAGTACAATATTGACATCCGCAGGGAAGAAAATTTCCTCAGTGGAGCAGGCGGAGATCGTCGCTACAATCCCCTGCCAGTGGAAAATGCGCCCCTCCTACTACCACTCCTTCGGGATCACCGACAACTACTTCATCTTTGTCGAACAGCCTTTCGTCTTCAACTTGAAGAAACTCATCTTTAACTATTACACAGGGAAGCCGTATATTGGAGCACTAGAGTGGCATCCGGAGGAGCAGGTATTACAACAATTGTATGTTGATTGTTGCCGCCGGAGGCTGATAGTTTATTGTGCACCTCCATACACATCCTGTAAGTGGTAGCGCATAAAAGGATTAGATGGCACAAAAGGTTTTAATCAAAACGTATAGCTTAATTTACAATAAGCTATTCCGCTCACAGGATAAATATGAGGTGCACAATAAATTACCGCTCACAGGATAAATATTAGGTGCACAATAAATTACCACTCACAGGATAAATATTAGGTACACAGTAAACTCTCTCCTGAAGACATTGTTTAATGTAAGTGTTGGTGTTTCAGAGCAAGTTTATAATTGTGAAGCGGGATACAGGGGAGCGGCTCCCGACCCAATACGTCGCTGACAGCTTTCTCACCTTCCACCACACTAACACCTACGAGAAGGACAACCACCTGGTCGTGGATCTGGTTGCCATGGACAATGCAGAGGTATACTTGTGGCACTTAAATTTGACGTTAATAATTACCATGACTATATTTCATGAATGAGCTTCATTTGGACAAATTTGCTAAATTATTTTTGAGAATGTAAGTACAATAAATAGGTGGGGGTAACTGGCTGTTCCCAGGTCTCTCTCCCCTTTTCCCACGTCTCTCCATAGTCTCTTTCTTCCCCCCCTCCCCTCTCTTCCCTAATCTCACCCCTTCTCTCCACCTCTCTCACTTCACTTCCACTATCCTCTCCTCCATTTCTCCCTTCTCCCACCCTCTCTACCTTTCTCCCTAACACCCGCCCTATCCCCCCCTCCAACTCCTTTCCCTCCATATCATCTCCTCTCTACGTTTCCCCCCTCTCTCTCCCTTTCTCTTTTTCACTTCTCATTCTCTCTCTCTCCTTCCCGCTATCTCTACCTCTTACTTCAGTTCTCCCTCCTTCCCATATATTCTCTTTCTCTTCGTCCCTCCTGCCCATTATTTTCCCCTCCCTCCAGCCTATTCTCTCTTCCACTTATCATCCCATTCTGCTTCTCTTACCCTTCCTTCCTCCCTTCTCCTCCCGGTGGGCGAAACATGTTTGAGTAACGCTGCATCATTGCCGAATCAACGTTATTCGATTTTGAACCTTTGTTATCAACGTTGATTCATTTGTCGATAATTAATATCTGGAAAATTTGATACAAGCAGTGATTACAGAATCTAACTCTCATTTCAGACGTGATAGGAGTCGCTGGGATTAGGAGTCGATCTAACTACGCCATGACACACTATATATAATCACAGATTGCCATGCAAATTACATTAGGCTAGCTGTAAGCGGCTGGCCTACAACCTTGGACAGACAACCAAACAAATAGACATGCTCTCTTATGGATATAGATAACATAGGCAGTATTAAAGCATCCTTTATATATGTATATATTAATTATTTTATTCTGGATTTCTGAGTTACGATTTTAATAATATTAAAATTACGACGTTTTAGATATCTGAAATTTCTGTGGTCTAAAATGTACCAGTTAACATAGCTATTTGAATGTGATGGGTGTGAGTGTAAAATATATTGCCAGACAGTGTATCAGCTGCTGCTGGAGAACCTGGAGAAGCCAGAGTTCGAGTGCTCAGCGGCCACCATGCCCACTCACCGCCGCTACGTCCTGCCACTCAACCTGGAAGACGCGGAAGAAAATACCAACCTGGGTAAATATTTCCTTGAAGGTTTTACGAGTAGGCCTAAACTCTTCTAAGATTTGATTTTGCTGTGGGAGTAAGGAGTGTTCTCATCAATTAATATCATTAAAACTAACCCATACAAAAAAAAATAGTTCATTTAGTGACACTCTGTGCTACATAGCCCTCCTGGCTCGGTGCCTTCTTTTGATATGATTATTTACCAGAATTTTCCTGAGGGCCACCATCTCTCTAGTGGCCTCGACGGGAACAGGAAGCTGGCGGCTTGTCAAAGATCCCCAGCATTGTTCCTGAGCATGTTTTCTATCTATATGTTGTACTGCAGTACAGTCTTAGCATTTACGGCTTCGGCGGGTAGACAGTTCCTTGGGTAATAACCCTAAGGATGAAAAAACATCTGGCCAACATTGTAGCTTTCTTGAGCTTGAAGCTGTTGCCCCATTATACTACTTATTTACTTACTGTACATATTAATTTATTTACAGTGACACTGAAAGGGTCGAAATGTTCGGCCTTGAGGCGTACAGATGGAAGAATCCAAGTACAAGGACATATTATATCCAAGCAGTTCTTTGACCTTCCTCGCATCAACTACAGACACAACGGTAAAGAATACACCTACGCTTATGGCGTTGATGTCAACCCCAGAGGCATCGACTTCCCCAAGGTCAGTAATGCTGCGTTCCTTAATGTTGTGTACCATGCTGGGGTGTACCATGCTGGGGTGTACCATGCTGGGGTGTATCTTGCTGGGGTGTACCACGCTGGGGTGTACCATGCTGGGGTGTACCATGCTGGGGTGTATCTTGCTGGGGTGTACCACGCTGGGGTGTACCATGCTGGGGTGTACCATGCTGGGGTGTACCTTACTGGCGTGATTCTCATTAAGTACTCCAGCCTTTGTCATTACCACATTTGAGTGTTTTCGTACATACACAATTATATTATTTCCTGTGTGAGTTTTAAAGGTTGTGACAGATCCAAACATTTAGATGTTTTTATTTGTAAACAACAACGCCGACGCGTCATCGACGTTATAGAAATGTCAGCATCACATCATCGACGTCAATATATCATTATATTGAGTTACTGTTATACTGGGACTGGTCGGTAAAACTACGCGCTTGCTTTATGCAAGTTGGCGTTCGATCCCTGATGGTCCAAGCGTTATGCGCAATTTCTTCACTCCATTCTCAAATCCCAGCTCTCTATCCTCATATCCCAGCTCCCTATCCTCATATCCCAGCTCACTATCCTCATATCGCTTTCATGTAAGTCGTATATACTGGATTTGCACCTTTTGCTAATTACCTCCCATTACAAGAGTTATTAAAGAATCTTAGTTATTTATACTTATTGATAATAATATTATTGCATCAAATATATAATAAATTGTTCAATACCAATAGGAAGCAACTTAGCATAAATATCTATCCAGAATTGGTGGATACAGATTAAATTACTGTAGTATTATGGACACCATACTCATCCTACGGAGCGCTAGAGAGGTTACATATGATAATAATAATAATAATAATAATAATATTTTATTTAGGAAAAGTACATACATAGATGCAGAGTTACAAACATACTGTTGGATTTATAGATAGAGCTAGTACATTCAATACATAAAGGCAATACCTAAAAATGATTTTGTTCTAATAGCAGCTTTGTGTTGAGTAATTAGAGGACGTAAATGATTTTGTGTAGTAGAACTCCAAGCACAAATACCATAATTGAGGTAAGGATAGATGAGAGTGTAATAGAGCGTCACCAGGGCAGGGCGAGGTATATAATATCTAATCTTAGAAAGAATGCTAACAGTTTCAGAAACTTTTTTGATATATTTAGAATGTGTCCCTGGAAATTCAGCTTGTGGTCAATGAGAACACCAAGGAATTTGCCATCTACTCTATTACTAATTTGGATATTGTTTATTCTTAGATTAATTTGATTTGAGGATTTATTACCAAACAAAATATAGAAAGCTTTGTCAATGTTAAGGGTGAGTTTATTAGCAGTTAGTCAAAGATGGACTTTATTTAATTCAGTATTCACTGTGACATTTAGAGCAAGAGGGTCAGGACTGGAGAAAATGAAGGTTGTGTCATCGGCAAATAGAATTGGTTTGAGGTGTTAAGAGGCATGTGGAAGGTCATGTGAGAATTGTATCTCTAGACATAATGTATATGAGAAAGAGGATAGGGTCAAGTATGCTGCCCTGAGGAACACCAATGCTGATGGGTAGAGCAGCATGATATAACCTCTCTACCCTCATCACGGTCCTTGTGGATTTGTTCATTTGATATATCATGCTATTGTGATTTCTGTGTATACATAATACTGTATTATTAATGTGTGGAGTGCTGCCTGGGGCCCAGCTGGTGAAGATGAACGTGGAGACTGGAGACACGTACCTCTGGCGGGAGGAGGGCAAGCTGGTGAGCGAGCCTGTGTTCGTTGCTGCCCCCGACGCCTCAGCCGAGGAGCATGGCGTCGTCCTCTCCACTCTCATAGATAAGGTTCATACGTTAATACTGTGGTTAGTGTACGATCTTACGCTCTCATACATAGGGTTCATACGTTAATACTGTGGTTAGTGTACGAGCTTACTCTCTCATCAATAAGGTTTATACATTTTAATACAATGTACTAACTTGCACTCTTACAGATAAGCTTGGCAATTAATACTACGTTTTCAAGAAATTAGCTGAATTAAAAAATACCTCCTCAAGTAGTGTTGTACAATTCTTGTACCATAACTGTACCACATTACAAGCTAACCAACTTTACTATAGTGTCAGTATAAGTTCATTTAATTAAGCCATACCTAAGACCAGTAAATATTTTGATCCTCAGATCGTTTCCAGTAATGATATGGAAACATATCTTCTTTGATATATCTTGCATATATCAATGATCCATATATTTTATGCGGCTAAGTTTTCCTCATTACAAAAAGTAACTCTCACCGTCTTCCCCAGAACGAGCCGAAGTTCGTGGCTCTACTGGTGGTGAACCCCAAGACCTGGAGAGAGCTCGCGCGAGTGGAGTTCGAAGCTGAGGGCGCCGTCACTTCCACATTCCACGGCCAGTTTGCTGGTGCCAACGAAAGTGTTTATCGTTATTAATGAAGGCTCATAGAAGCCATCCTGGGGCTTCACCAACAGCAGCAGAAGGAACTCAGTGACCACACCCAGCGCTCGGGTCCAAGTCTTTGTGGTGGTGGCCGAAGTCAGACAACTACATCATCTGCAACAAGACTAAAGCGTCGGCTGTAACCAAGCAACAATATTACCTGAAGCCAAGCAACAACATCGCCTGTAATCAGATTTATTGCCTCACATATCCACCAGCAACGGTTAAACAAATACCGGTCATTGAACAAATCCGGTAACACATTGAATAAATGTGTAATCGGTCATTGATTATAATATATTGTCACATATTTCCCCCGTATAGTAGAGGAAACTGCCACTTCCTACTCACCTTCATGTACATCACTCAACATTTCACATATATATGACAGCTGATCCAGACGTTCAACCCAGACCTATGTCTGAAATGCACTACCAGTCACCCTACCCAGCCCAAGAGCACCAGGCAGGTACAACCTGCCGACTCTTGTTATCTGGGCAACTAGCAGTTTCGCTGTCGGCCTCCAGTTCCAAGCCTCATTGACAAAGGATGTGACGTCACCAGTAGGGGGTATAAGTACTCCTGTCCTCACCCCCACAGTCATCACCGCTCCTGTGCCAGGTAAGTTCACTACAGGCTCACCATAGCCCGTGCTACTTGGAACTTGTTCCGAGTAACTTAATCTATAACAACAACAACACAACCTCCTGTAACGGGCTCACCATAGCCCGTGCTACATTGACACTTCGTTCTGAGTAGCTAAATCTGAAACAACAACAACAACCCCCACAGTACGGGAGACATTTCCCGTCACGCAGGGTGCAGTCGTACCTCCACAGATCTCCAGTATCATCTATTGATACTGGTAATGGCTCAAAAGGGCCACCACTTACGGGCTATTCATGCCCGTGCCACCTTTTGGGTGGCATGGGCATGAATATGGCTGTTGTTGGTTCCGCGGAACCAACAACAGCTACACCAAGGCGGAAAACATGGCCCTCCTGACGTCGACCTCAGGGGTAACACCCATCGACGTCGTCATGGAAGTAACTGGACCCCAGATATTGTTCAGCAGGGCAGTGGCACTAGACTCTGTTCACCACAACAACGCTCGCGGCTGTAGAGGCAAATTGTCAAACACTCATACCTCCCCATCAATTCCATGCAGTGAGGACGATGCATTCCATGCATCTTCATTCATAGAGAGAGCGATATCATAGCAGAGCAACCCATTACTGAGATCGTAAAGAGCATCAACGCTCTGAATCGGTCACTCACCGCCATCTGGGCCCACCTCATTCAGCAGGACAAGAACGGCAAGCCCACCCTCAAGTCCACCCTCAAGGTCACCCTCAAGACTCCGGCAGAGGCATATGTTTTCTCGTGTGCTAGCCAGGTGTATGTTAGCAGTGCTTCAGGTATTTTACATGTGTTTGTTCATATTTAATATCTGAGTAAATATTGTTAATTCCTCATTCTTTATATCCTGTGCAATTTTCACACTGCCATAGCCAAAGCGGCACTTTTTTTGCGAGCCATATTACACCAGCCCATATATGAGAAAGGTTACATGAACGTGCAAGCCATAGATGACTAAGAACTCTATTTGACCCGGCCAGGATTCGAACCCATGCCGTCCAGGATTACCCCTAAACGTACACAGTACCGTGACCACCACACCAATATGTATGTGCGTGATGCCTAACGTGTGTGAATACACTCTGGCTTCCTGTCCTCCGACACAATGAATTATTATGAATTAAAATGTATAATCATTGCATAACATGTTAATTATGCATACGTTTTGCTATCAATAGTTATTCAACTTTCATGTGTATACTCAAAATGCTACATTTGCATACAACTTGTCACCTTAGTAACATCAATTAATTACTCACACTACTGCATGCAAATTACATAAGTAATTTCAATGTCAAATTTGAGTGGTCTAGTCATGACACATTGACTGGCTTACTCATAACAGCAATAGCTGGGTTCATTATTAATTAAGAAAAGTTTGAGTTCGGTTACAAGTCCACCTTTCCCATTGTAAGGTCCTAGGAACTGAAACACTGCAAGGTATTAGTGTGAAAAGTTATGATTTGTGCACTCTCATACTAAACAACTCAGGTTGAGTATAGGTGTGCACAATAAACTACCACTCACATCATGACTATATATTGAGTGGGTTTTTGGAGTTCTTCGACTCTTCAAGTCCGGGCCGAAGTCAGGCTTGACTTTCGACAACTTGGTCCAACAGGATGTTTCTTGGAGCAGCCCGCAGGGCTATATATCCACTTCAACCCGGTTGGTCCGGCACTTCTTTTTTTTTTTTTTTTTTTTTTTTTTTTTTTTTTTTTTTTTTTTTGAGATATATACAAGAGTTGTTACATTCTTGTACAGCCACTAGTACGCGTAGCGTTTCGGGCAAGTCCTTAATCCTATGGTCCCTGGAATACGATCCCCTGCCGCGAAGAATCGTTTTTTCATCCAAGTACACATTTTACTGTTGCGTTAAACAGAGGCTACAGTTAAGGAATTGCGCCCAGTAAATCCTCCCCGGCCAGGATACGAACCCATGACATAGCGCTCGCGGAACGCCAGGCGAGTGTCTTACCACTACACCACGGAGACTTCTTGCAGTACCTTGTCTAATGTTTTCCTGAATACGTCCAATTTTGTTCCAATAAGATTTCTTATGAATTGTTGGGAGACTTCGAATAGCAATGGATCTACTCTTCTCAACTCTTTACTGGTGCTGCTCTGCATTTGTAATCATAGCGTTCGCTCTAGTATATTAATATTTATATCGTACGAGGCACACAAACTATCGCTCACAGGATGAGTATGGGGTACACAGTAAACTACGCTCACAGGATGAGTATGGTGGTGTACAATCAACCACCTTTGGACTTGTCAACGTTCTACACTCATGTTAACTCCCCATACTTTGCACGTGGGGCTCAGCTCCCGTGTCCGTTATCTTCCTCTGCAACCTGCAGGTGGTAGATGGGCATGGAGTGCATCTAAAGGTCATGTTGGAGAGTTTTTTTTTTTTTGAGATATATACAAGAGTTGTTACATTCTTGTACAGACTAGTACGCGTAGCGTTTCGGGCAGGTCCCTGGAATACGATCCCCGCCGCGAAGAATCGTTGTTACAACCAAGTACACATTTTACTGTTGAGTTAAACAGAGGCTATAGTTAAGGATTTGCGCCCAGTAAATCCTCCCCGGCCAGGATACGAACCCATGCCAAAGCGCTCGCGGAACGCCAGGCGAGTGCCTTACCACTACACCACGGAGACTGAAGTTGTTGTGTGAGGCTAGCCCCAAGCGTCTGGCCGCCAACTTTGAACAGACAGATTTTCTATGCTGTAGATATAGGTTTATTTATAATTATGGACAACTGGTTATTTTATTAGAAAATCAGGTGATTAAGTGGTACATTCTCACAAAAGCCTCTAATACACTTCGGGAACAGGGTCGACACCATTTCAATAATCTACAATAATTCAGGTGACTCCAACTCCAACATATATCCGTCTAAGTGGAGTGCAATGACATGTTAAGAGATCTACTGCTGTTATTGGGTGACCGTGGATATGTGACGGGTGAAGTACTGATATGAGCTGACTAGACGACCATGAGTGTTAGTTCTTGCTGATCAGCACATTCTGTGCCAGCGCCACCTGCCATATATTCATTTGTAATGGGACTATATAGATATAAATATACATGATAATAAGAATTTATAATTGTATCTCATTTGATTGCTTTATAAGTCTTGTTTATTATAGTAAGTAATATATACAAATTATGTAAAAAATTCTGTATCACAGACTTATCACGTGATCACATATAAAAGGTTTGAACGTATTCTAGTATTTTTAAATACATCCATTCCAAAAAAAGAAAGGAAATAACCAACAAACACGATTCTAGTTGAAACAATTACCTAACTGATATAGGAATAAGTATATGTGGGTGGTGGTGTGTGGCAGCCGGCCCAGCCAGATGGTGCCGAGGGTGACGTAAATAAACAAGAGGCAGTTGCCAGGGCCTGTGTGTGGCGGCGGCAACTGGCTCCACCTTGCACTATGTGGCACCTTCTCCCTCTCTTCCGCTGATATTCCTCTCGTTGTGAAGTGTTTTAACCGTTAAGAATTCATTCTGGGCCTCGCTGAATATGGCTGCGAATATGTATTACTCCTCCGAGAGCTCCGACAGCGAGACGGCCGTCGACACGTCCAGTCTGGACTTGTCGTACCTGATGCTGGACGCAGACTCCCTGGCTGTCCACCTCAAGAACAGCATCCGGGAGCAGCACCTGCAGAACCAAGATGCCAAACACTATGGCCTGCCGACCACCAGGGAGAAACCTGCAAAAGGCAGTGAGGGAGGAACCCGACCTCGAACGGCAGGAGATCAGGATATCGACGCCAGGATCTCTCAGGTCTCAATAAGTAACATGGACGCTGACTTGGACAGAGATAATGTTCACGATACCATCACACACAAACTGCTCCTACAGCACAATATGCTGCTAACTTTGCCATTCGAGATTATTAAGTTTTCAAAGTTACGGAGTTTAGATCTGTCTAGTAATAACCTCACACATGTTAATGACTTCCTGCTACAACTGCCAGAGCTGCAGACGCTCTTCCTGCACAACAACAGCCTGGCAGACGATGGCCTCCCCAAGGACATGTCGGTGTTGGATAAGCTTAGGGAACTGAACCTGAGTGGCAATCATCTAACAAGAGTGCCCAATCAGCTGTATGAAATGACTGGAATCCGTTACTTGTATCTTGGAAACAATCAAATCACAGAAGTTCTTCCAGATATCAAAGCTATGCAAAGGTGTGTTACGTTAGTTTGTGAAGTACATCTCATTACTTATTGTCATACAATCCATTTAGCATATTCCATTACACTAAACTAAACTTTGGCTTTTCAATGCAATTTCCCCAAGCTGTTGGGTGTTGGATTTTTTTTAAAGTACTGTACAGTACTGTACCAGTATTTATTTAGTCATAATTCATAATTATAATTCATTTTGTAGGGTACAGGCTTCCTTTGATATATATATATATAATATATCACACACACACATAAACATACATACAGTATACACTCACACACACGTGTGAACGATATGTGTATGAATGTACATGTTTACATGTGTATGTATGTTTGTATGTATATATGTATGTACATACATATGTACACGTGTACATTCATGTGTATGTATGTGTGTGTACATTTATGTGTATGTATGTGTGTGTACATACATGTGTATGTATGTGTGCACATACATGTGTACGTACGTGTGATTGAATGTATGTACGTGTGTACGAATGTACAGTATGTACGCATGTACAAACGTATGTGTGAACATACATACGTACATATGTATGCATTTATGTACATACGTGTATGTATGTAAGTACGTGTGTACGTACGTATGTATGTACATGTGTACACGTGCAGAATTACCTATCTGCAGTTTTGGCAGATAGGTAATTACAGGTGAAAAAATCCTTCTTTGTCAGTTTAAGCTAGTTGAGCTTGATACTGTTCTCGTATAGGTGTCACATTGGGATTTGTAAAAAGTTTAGATTAATGTCTTGTTATGAATATAAAGAATCTCAATATTTTAAGTCTCAGTGAGATCAGTCTTATCATGTCTTGTTTGTAGAGGAGCTAATCCTGTTGCCTTATAAGTTTGACTTTCAATCTGTGGCTATTATATAGAAAATAATGTCACACCGTTTGCTCCAAGTAGTTTTATGGGATCCGAGTTAATCTTGTTCACCGATGTCGGACCTTTAACCCACTTTGTTTAGCTGAGAATAGTAGTTTGTGCATTTCTGGTACAAGCTTGGCTCCAGTTAAAAGATGGTCGAGTATAACCTGCACCCATTAAAGTCTCTAGTTTTATCTTATTCAGAAGGACAGGTTTAGATTGAAGCCTCCTTTTGGCAGCTAGAGGTTCTTCAGGCTTTTGCCCCCCTCATTGCCAAGCATTAGTTTATGTATACCTAAGTCAAGCATTAGTTATGTATGTAGTGAGTAAACAATTTACTCGCTCCAACTCACTACATGTATAACTTTGTGTTAGGTTTTAAGGGTTCATGTGCTACAATATTTAATTTCAGTTTACAGGTACTAAATCTTGGTGGCAACCTGCTAGAGACAGTTCCTGATGAGCTGGGTGAGCTACAACAACTTGGATCTCTGGTTTTGTGTGATAATCGTCTCCGAAATTTACCAAGAAGCATCTCCAACCTTACAAGGTTACGGTCACTCCTTCTGCATAAGAACAATCTTTGCTGCCTTCCTGTTGGAGCAGTCAAGCTGAGGGGTCTTATGGAGGTGTGTTGATGTGGCTGCATTTGAGGCCTTTTATTGCCGTAACAGTAAATTAAAAATCAAAAGTTAGAGTTTTGCATCCTTAGCGTTTGGCATTAGCCTAGGACACAATACTGTACCATGTGTATTTGGTCTTGGCCTGGTGCAGTCTCCCACATATATCATACAGAGCTCAGGGTCACTGCCAACCTCAAGTTTGAAACTTGTTGTCTTTTGGTGACTACTTTGTTGAAACTTATGCCTGGGTGAGGGGCATATGAAGTCATTGAGACGGTTCAGGCTCATAAACTATTAGAAATATTGATGCTGTTTGTCTCCATTCCCAGCTTTTGCAGATGTCTGGCATGATCCATGTTATTTTGAGGATGATTTGGATCTTATTGCTGCATCAACCTGTGACTTTCTGCTTCTGGACAGATAGAACTCTGCTTGGTTCCTGTTTGTGACACTTCATCAGACGGATTTTTTCCAATATCAACACTTAAGTTCCCATTCTCCATCACTGGCTGTATTCCTATAAGATTTAACAAAAAATTTAATTCCTCCCTACTACCCTTCCTAAAGTCCCTCAATTGATTCCCCAACCTTGATTCTCCTGTGGGTCTCTGAGGCAATTTCTGTGGTTGAGGATAAGGCTCCGTCTACAATGATGGAGAAATTAATCTGGTGTCCTCCCAACCCCTCCTGGGCTTATTATTCCAGACCAGAGGGTGTGTTGCTGCATATAGGAGGCTGATGTATCTCTCCAACTCAGTTTGAGATACGGGTATATTGTACGTGTACTATAGACCGTTTCTAGTATCTGCCTCTGGTTTGATTTATCTCCCATTATGGAGGATGATGAATTGGCCTTTTTAAAAGATTGTCCTCTCGCTTACATAACCCTCCCCCAGTCCGGGGGGTAATGAACGTTTCTTTTTATGTAATTGGGATCGTGTCTGAACTTGGAATTTGTGTCTGCTTCCTGACTGCTGTGCCAGGTCACTGCTTCTTCATATTTTGCAGTCAATGCTTTATTTAACTTTTTGTGGGGAGGGGGGGGGGGAATATGGCAGCTGTTTTCTTGCTCATAAGTTCTCAAATGGAAGGAGATTTTACCTGTCTTTAGTGTAGCTTTGTTAAGAACCCTTTATATAGTTTTTAAGAATGGGCCGAAAATTGAAGTATCCTAGAAAGACAATATTTTGCACAGGTATCCAATCAAGTTCAGAAAGTTAAAATGTTTGATTTTAAAATTGTTGCCATTCTACCTTTTAGAGAAGTTTTTTTTAACTGTATTATATATAAATGAATTAAAAATAAATACAGTACTGATAATTTGTTTTCTCATTTGTAGCTCAGTCTTCGGGATAATCCCCTTGTGACAAGATTCGTGAATTCGTGTGCCCGAGAGCTTATGTATAACCCACCTTCCCTGTTGGAATTGGCTGCCCGAGTTATCAAGCTAAAGAAGGTCGAGTACACGTATCAAGATCTTCCTCAGACGCTTGTGACATACCTAAGCAATGGCCAACGATGTGTTAATCCAAAATGCAAAGGTATGAGTCGGTATGAGGTGTAAAGTAGTATAGAAATATTAATTTATACACAAAAGCTTATTATGGAAATGAAATACATTTTAGAATGTGTTAAATAAATAGTACAGTAAATATTTGTTTGCATATGGGACTTAAATTTTCTTGTCAAGATCATAGTGAATGTATTTTATAGTAATAAAATGAATGCACAGTTTGTATTTTGATTTAATTGTTCTTCATAATGCAGTTATTAACAAGAGATATGAATAAGTTTAAATTTTTCTGCTAAAAAGCATAATTTTGTTATGGCATTTATGGTAATTTTCCATTTTTTCTGTTTCACAACAGGTATGTACTTCACATCATGTGTGGAGCACATCAAATTTGTAGATTTCTGTGGCATGTATCGGGTTCCCCTGATGCACTACCTGTGTTCATCCCGATGCTCCTCTAAAACTCCTGACTATTATCGTGCCCTGTCCTCTGAGTCGGATAGCGAAGAGGACGAACCTGCTGCCAGGATGAAGAGAGTCTTGTTGGGTTAGCCAAGTTGTCTCGTTGTTGTGTACGACTTTTATGTGCACTCTAATTACCCAGGTTATATATTATGGTGTTTGCCATATACTGCATCTTGCTAGCAATATGGATTAAATGCACTGCAGTGCATACCTTAAACAAAAATTGATGTTTTGTATGGGTTATACTTTATTTTTATACATGAGATGTATTCATATCAATTTTGATTATATTTTTCTAAGGTGCACAGTACAAGAGCACATTTACTGAAGCCGAATTTGAAACTTTTTAAATAGTAATAATAATTATTATTAGACTAGCATTATGGATATAAATTAGGTTATATTTGAAGATTTATTACAGATATATGCTATTAGGTATTGTGATATGATAGGAAAAAGTATTTCTTTTATTAAGTTTATTAATTACAGGGTTTTAATCCATGTGTGTAAACATCTAATTTTGAGTGAGTGCCCTTCACGCTTTGTAAACTTTCACATCACATCTGACTTGGGTTTTCTCTTATTGGTCATTTGTTAGAAATCTTGCTGTTGTCCTTGTTGCTGTCTTGTCATTAGGGTGACACGTGATCCTGTGGTCCCGGGTTCGATCCCGGGCGCCGGCGAGAAATGATGGGCAGAGTTTCTTTCACCCTATGCTCCTGTTACCTAGCAGTAAATAGATACCTGGGAGTTAGTCAGCTGTCACAGGCTGCTTCCTGGGGGTGTAGGCCTGGTTGAGGATCGGGCCACGGGGACACTAAAGCCCTGAAATCAACTCAAGAAGGGTAAAGTCTGTAGTTTCTTGTCACTTGCCTAAACTTGTGTTCAAATTGAACATCAAATTTACATATTACTTATTCCCACTTTTAATTACCAATTAAAGTGAATAAGTGGGAATTTACATTCCCACTTATTCACTTTAATTGGTTCAACTGGGTGCCAGCATAATTCATTTAAATTTTTGGCAGTTTTGTTTATTTTAGCACTTATTTTAACAAACATGTGCAAAAAATACCTTGTGTGGTATTTTAATAGAAGTGCACCAATGTATATCTAAGAAACCATTGACATTTTTGTTATTTGGTAAAAACAAGCATCTCTTATCACCAACTCCCACAACTCTTCCTGGATAATGTAGATGGAAACCAAAATACTCGCATATCTGGATAACCAGAGAAACTGGAAAATTGGGATCCAGATAATGAATCCTACTGTAATACCTTTATGTAAAAACCTATGATATGAATAGCAAAAGGTAAATTTTATAAATAAAATGACACCACAGTCTATTACATAAGTGCAATACTTATTGAGAAATTAATTGAAATAAATGGGTGGTTAGATTTGTTATGTGCAGCAAGAGCCCAGTTACTCGAATGGCCAGGTAGTTGCATCACCTATTTGTAAAGGAATGTCATCAGTACAGTGCCTGGCTTGGTGCTGTCTTTGCCCTTCTTGAATGTCCTGACTTCCAGGACGTGCGTGTGTCTTGCTTTCCGACTGCCCCTCGCGGTCGCTTGTCCCTCAATAGAATTCTTGGTGACTCGGATACTTTTGATATCGTTCGCCTTATGCGTTTTTGTTCGCGTATTGGCATCCTTGGTGATATTTAGCGCTCTCTGATTATTCCGCACATTTGATGGTGCTACATAGCCTTCCCGGTTTGGTGCCTTCTTTTGATAATTACTTACTTACTTGGTGCTGTCTTTTGATAATTACTTTTGTCACCAGTACAGTATAGACAGGACCAATGGGTCACTGGAAGCCACAGCCCAAGTGTTTGATGGCGCCTTTCTTGAGAACCACTGTGTGTTAAAATCCACTATTAATGTGCATGCTAACATGGTGTGTTACCATATTTTGGTGGTACAGTATTTTAACTTGATTTAGATATACTGTACTTTACTGTGCATGGTTTTGGTGGCTGGAGCACCTGGGTACCCATGGCAACTTTGTCTAGCCTTGTTGGTTATTACATTCAGTGCACTTTTTTAGGTATTTAGGCATTTATCCACGTTATTCTACAGTTTAAGGACTGTACATCTGACCCCCCCCCCCAACCACTTCGGCTGAACAGTAGAGCAAAGGTCTCGCTTCATGCAGGTCGTTGTTCAATCACCAACTGTTTCTAAGTGGTTAGGCACCATTTCTTTACCCCATCCCATCCCAAATCCTTATCTTGATCCCTTCCTAGTTCTGTATAAGCATTATGGCATGGTACTTTCTCCTGATAGTTCTCTTCCCTGCCCTGCTTTTTCCCCACCCCCCCAAAAAAAACAATTTGTGTAATAGAAATCAGTTTATAGAATTTTTTGTTATTACAATACCAATAAATAACAAGACATGCAAACAGCAATATGACAGTGGTAAATTAAGCAGACCAACCATTCCATTTTTTCTGACCTGCCTTCCCCACCTCTTTGTTGCGAAACCTATTTTTCATGGCCAGCGGCACCTTTGGTTTTAACGTGTTTGCAGACATTTAAGCCCTTTTCCACTTGCATTCCTTGATATTTTGTTTTAAATACTGAATGTCTTGCCAACATGTTGGTAAAAAAATTCATAAAATGTATGTTTTTCAATGAAGGCTGTTCTCCAACAGGATTGGAAATTACTGTATAAAGATAAACAATATTGAATAATACAGTATTATCAGTACTATTTTTAGATTCAGTACATATTATTTATCAATCAGGCAACACAAATCACATGAGAGAACACAAAAGGAGAAAATACTAGTCGGAAAATCTGAAGTTTCAAATTTGCAGTCAACAGGTGTGCCACAGTCTTAAATCCAAGTTTAAATTATTACCCAGTTTGACCAAGTTCAATTCCATATTGAAATATCAAGCAAATCATTAAAAAGTTTAACTATGTTCCACCTCTATACTCGTAATGCTCATTAATTTTTCTGCTGTAATGCAATATGATGTATGCAACAGATTCAAAACAAGCTCGCATTAGAAAACTGTAAATGTATTCGCCCTGGTGTAGTAGCTCACTTTCTCTTCCATAACCATGTATGCACTTGGGTAATATTCAGTGAGAGTTTGCAGAGGAGGTAGTGAGAAGAAGCTGGCTTATATGACCCACCTAGCTATGCCAAAATTAAGTGCTGCTAGGAACACTACTTCAACCATTGTACCTACATTTAAGTGAGCCTCTTCTGCAATTTTACTCTATTGCTCAACACTAGCTAGCTAGTGCTGAGCAATAGCAAACAACTTGTATATATATATGTATATAGATGTACAGTATATATGTCTATTGTTGACACCTTTCGCCATCATGGTGGAAGGTGTTCATAATAGTTGGGTTCAGAGGAGGTTCAGTAATCAATATTTTCGACATGGAAGGACTCGCACCCATTATGTAGCCCGAGCTTGACTGTGTTGACCGAGTCTGTTATTACAAATGAACAAATCCTATTTGTACAGCAAATCCTAATCTTATGTGTACTGTTACAACATCCAATTTCACTACACCACTAGCATTGAAAACTGATCTGATGAGATAAACCTTCATTACACCTGGAGAGGGAATAAATTGAGCAAAACTGCTGTTTAGTTACCAACTCTAGAATTCTTGTTAATTTTGTGATACTTAAGTGTTTTTTATTGCATAAAGCATGCTTTCCATAGTGAAGGTATCTGAAAATCCAGCACTAACTGGATGCTGTTCATTAATTGTAGCTACTATGATTAGAACTTGTTTATATGTGATATACTTTCCCTTTATTTGCAATGTTACTTGATTGTTTAGTGGCATATTATTCCACCGTACAGTAGAAGATGTACAATTATCAGCATATTTGAAATGTACAGCTTGTAACACTAACAGATCAAAGTTGGTCATGAGTGGAGCAGTTCATTGGGTAGCTGTTGGCCGGTGTGAAATTCACTGGTGAATATTTCTTTACCAGTGAAGAGAAATTCCCATTGCAATAATAATGATGTTACTCAGCAAGTGTACAAAGTATAGAAACTCTAGAGTCAGTGTCCAAGTTGCAGTTCTCTAATGGGAAGCCAACTAATTGTCTCACTTGTTAAACAATTTATCTAAGAGATCGAGTTCAGCTCAACCCATCAGTGTTGTGCTTCTCTCATACTCGATGCATCTGAACTTGTTTGCTTTTAAATCAAAGCATTGACAAGAATATCATCCTGAGTCTTATCCAGCTAAACATCCAGGGAAATTTGAGAAGACAGATACAAGTATGCAATGCCACATGATGCACACATGCACGTGCTTTGTTGACTATATAATTACTGTATCTGCTATCGTTTCTTACGAAACACAAAGAGTTAAGTTGCTGGAAATGAAGCCATAATGGGGATGTGGAATCGGGAAGACTGGCCACACCTAACCTTCAAATTATGTGAAAAGATGTTAGAAACTTCTGACAAGAAAAAAAAAAAGATCTAGGACTGGTTCTGGATAATAAGCTGTCATGAGGGTACCACATAAAGGGTATTGTGAAAGGACCATACACTACACTAGCAAAGTTCAGAACTGTGTTTCAATATATGGCCGGAGAAATATTAAAGATACTGTACTGTGAAACCAAAATTGGAATGTGCAGTAGTGGTGCAAGAAGAAGCACATAAACAAATTTGAAAGGGTGGAAAGACATGCTACTAAATGGCTTCCAGAAGTTAAGAACAAACTGTGAGGAGAGCCTGGAGGTGTTAAACATAACAATGCTACAAGATAGGTAGAAAAAGTGATATGAACACTACATACAAAATAGTAACAGGAATCAATAAAATAAACAAGGAGGATATTTTAATCCTGCAACTTCAAGAGCAAAAAGTCAGATTCAAGTTTTAAGGAAACAATGGTGCCAAAAAATATAAGAAACTTCTTTACAGAGTAGTTGAGGGTTAGAACAAGTGAAGTGAAAAGGCAGTGGATGCCAAAATCAATAGTTGGAAAGCATCATATGACAAAAGAATACTGGGAAGATAGACACCACGAGCATAGAGCTCATCCCGTAACTATACTTAGGTAATGACGCTTACTCATTTAATCACACTTTTTAATGCTACAATACTGTACCTTATTACAGCCCAGTAGCTCACTTGCCCACCCACCTACTGTCCACCAGCATGCACACGCACACACTTATGCACCTGTCACCCACCATCCAGCCCATTCTTCTACTAGTTTGCCTCCATGTCTCTCCACCATCAACCAATTTCCTTGCTCTGTGTTACATTTTATTTCTCTCTCATAGTGGGTCAGATTGACTGTGTTACCTGTAAGACTGAACTTTAGGTGTTCAATGCATCATCCGATTGCTTTAGTGAATTTTGAAATAAGACCAATTCTCTGATTTTGTGTTTTGTTGCAATCAGACTTTTTATTTTAAAATACAGTACTGTACATACACACATTCTTTTTAATGAGTCTTGCTCTTGGAATTTGTCTTTTTTATTTTTATTTTTCCTGTAAGATCATTAAGAAAAGTGAATACAGTACTCTTCTGTACAGTACAAACCTCTACAGCATGTTGGGTATCATATACTGTACATATGTAGATTCAGGCATCAATTGTATTTTAAATGTTAATGATTACTTTTTAGATGATATATAATTTCAACCATCTGAATAGATTATGTAAAACAATAATTTTCTGCAGCATAGCATATCATAATGCTGTTGTGAATTTTATGCTAACACTCTTTGCATGTATGTTTTTATTTGTTGGCACATCATGCCTGTATAAAGATTTTTATTTTTTACATCAGAAGTATATACTATATACAGTATATGAATGAATTATATTAATAGCAATAAGTTAATTCTAGTCTGAATCCTAAATTTCACAGTGTGAAAGAAGAAAGTTTTAATTGCATTTTGTTAATGGAATTTTTGAAGTTATAAACTTTATTTATATTATGTGTATTATTTACTTTATTCAAAATATCTAGCTGTAGGATATTACTTTTATATATATTGTTTATAAATATGCTTGTGCCTACATCTGAGGCAGTGTCATGTGTGGGGTCTCAACTTTGTAGTTTGTGACAACAGTGTGTGTGTGTATACTTATTTTTTTTTTTTTGTGTGTGTGTACAGTATGTGTATGTGGGTGTGTGTACAGTATGTGTATATGTGTGTGTGTGTGTACAGTATGTGTATATGTGTGTGTGTGTACAGTATGTGTATATGTGTGTGTGTGTAATTAACTAAATGTAGTTACAGGATGAGCGCCATGCTCGTGGTGTCCCTTCTTCCCATTATTCTTTGTCTTATAATACTTTGAAATTACTGATGGTTTTGGCCTCCACCACCACCTCACCTAATTTTTTCCAACCGTCTACCACTCTGTTTGCAAAAGTAAATTTTCATATATTTCTTCGGCAGCTTTGTTTAGTTAGTTTAAATCTATGACTTCTTGTTCTTGAGTTCCAGGTCTCAGGAATTCTTCCCTATCAATTTTATCGATTCCTGATACTATTTGTTTGTAATGATCATAGTGCCTCTTTTTCTTCCATCTTCTAGTTTTGGCATATTTAATGCCTCTAACCTCTTCTCGTAACTCTTGTCCTTCAGTTCTGGGAGCCACTTAGTGGCATGTCTTTGTACCTTTTCCAGTTTGTTGATGTTTGAAAACATCAACATCAGCTTTTGACTTTTAGATGGACAGAGGCATCAAAGAAATTATGTTCATTTGTTCCTGTATCAGCCTGGAATTGATCAGGGATCCGTGGATTACAAATCCCAAACGCTGTCCGCTGTCAAGCAGACAGCATGAGTGTGTGTGTGTGTTTGTGCAGCTCATTTCTGCACGTGTGTGCATGCACACACACACACACACACAGTTTTCACAATTTTAGATACATCATAAAGCAAACAACAAAATATTTACAAAATACCTGAATACAGCATGTATTTTTAATTATAGGTAATGCAATTACTGTACACCATAACAAAGGCCTCTGACCCTTATACATGTTTCACAGCTAAGCCATGTTTCCAGGGCAAAAATAAGCATAACCAAACACACAACCAAAATAAAAATATTGGATGACAAATTAACATTAATTTCTGATTTGCCTTTCAGACAATTTTTGTTTATTAGCGCTACTTTCTTCTTTAGATGGCCTTAACCTTTTATTTAATGGATTTTTCTCACTGTTTCAGAGTGCTATATGCCAGCTTCAAACTCTGATCATATATCAATATATTATGTTTACTGTGGCACAATGTTCTTGTGCTTGACCTCACCTTATATGAGTGAGAATCTTAACTCGTTCAGCATTTTTGTCTGTTCATGATTTTATACATTAATCATTGTAGTTGCAGCTATAGCACATAATTGAAGTTTATGATTATATTATTTTTTTAGTAGTAGTAGTTATAGTGGAGGGCCTGAGAGTTGTTTAACAATAAGGGTGTATAAAGGTGAAATAAGGGATTGTATGAAAGATGGTTATGACTGAATGAAAGGATTTGGGGGAAGGTGTTAGAGCATTTGGAAGATTGAAAGGTTTGTGAGGGGTTATAGATCTTCCTTGAGGAAGTTCTGCTGTAGCCACCCTTTGATGGGAAACTCTCAGGAGGGAATAAGGTATTTGGGATATAGATAGTACTGTACTATAGTACAGGTAGTACAGTAGTTGGTCAGTCTCCTATGGAAGCAGTATCATCGGAGAAGTAACAGGGATAATCCTTTCCCTTACTGATGCTTCTTGGGCTATACTCACTGCACAACAGCTTTGTGGTCTGCCACATTTTCTCTTACCTCCACATTATCTTTGCAACAATTACTACTGTTTTTCTATTCATTATCTTAATTTTAGTTTTTTTTGTGCTGTTCTATGCCTCCACATTTTTTCCCTTCTCTGCTTAAGGGAACCCCTCTTTCCTTTAATGCCTTTTTTTTTGGGGGGGGGGAGGAGCTGAAGAGCTGTCTGCTTCCCCACTTTTCCTAAATGTTACTATTTCTATGTGCAGCCAAGAATCATAAACCAGTGATGAACTCTGTGTCCATTTGTTTTCTAAGTATGTTACAGGGTATTCTGTTCCATAAATTAGATTGTCCATTGTTGTAAGCAAGATTGTACAAGATTTTCAAGTATATTATGACTAAAGCTTGTTGTTCAGCAGTTTACAGTAGGTATAATGACAAGTACCGCCTTATGGTAAAATAATTAGTCTTGATCTGATACCACATGAAAGTTTCTGTATAATTGGTAAATTTGTTGATTACATTTTGTATTGTCAATAAATTTCTTGGCTTTGATATTAATTTTTGTCCCCCTTCTCCAAGTAATTATCAAAAGAAGGAATCAAGCCAGGGAGACTGTATAGCACTGTAGTTATCAAAAATCTACATAATTATTCTATTAATATATAAGAAGCAAAATGATCAGTAATACTTTCCCTGTTCAACTTATTGTATTCATTACTGTATAGCCCCAAAAAATGTATTCAAGTACTATAATGACAACTCATTGTGTTGGTATTTGTATCTTCATCATTCAAAACTAATGATGTACATATTAACCATAGAATTCTTTACCACAACCACCCATTTAAAGTGTTAAGGTTGGTCTACAGCATTAGTAATGGTAGATTACTAGCTGAGCACAATAACAAGTGAGCACGTTGCTTTGGCAGCTTCCTCCACTTTTTCGAAAAGTCTGCAGTCTAAAGTCTTTTTCTTTTCACCTCCACTTTCACATATTTGCTCACTATCAATCCACCCTCTTCAGCCACTCACTTAGTAATATTGTACATCAAATATTTATATGGTACTCATTTATTGTTATTAAGGTTGTTTATAAGTTTAAAAGACAGATTTTGGAATTCAATTGCTCAAAATTTAATGGTAATGCATACTGTAAATAATTTTTTTTTATCAATGTTAGGAGAGTTCGTATTTGAATCATTCTGCACCTATGTGATGCATAAATAATGGCTAGAAAATTTATAAAAATTTAAAATCGAATCAGGAAGCTAAAGGTGGTGAACAACGGCTCATAGCTTTTATACAAGTTTTAAATTTGCGGATACCGTAAAATTTAAACCTTATAGTTTTTGAGGCTCATGTTGTAGGTATTTTAATTCATACATAACTTTTTTTTTAACATAAAACAAGTGTCTAGTTACCAGCAGGTGGTGGGAACTACCCCTTTACTTGAATACAACATCTTACACTAGCAGTTGTAACGTCTACTGAATATATATAGTAAAATGTTCTAACCTTCCTAACGTTAATTGGCTTTAGCTCTTTAAGCAACTTAATGGCACAAAGTCATCCCAAGATGATCTTTGTCTTCAGTTTGCATATGTTTACAACCGTCCAAGCATCAGCTCAATCAAAGCTGCGACATAATCCAATATATGAAAACATAATTCTTTTTAATACTGATATTCTCACACATATACTGGGGATGGTATCCAGATAATGCAATCTGCATTGTATATGTCAAGGAGAATTATATACGTTATGACGACGTGATATCACTGGCTAGTGCGTCATGATAACAAAGGGCAGAACCCTGAACATCCGCTGCTCGTGGCCGTCTTGAGCTCCGCCATGCTGACGTCTTCATCCTGCCTCACAAATCTTCCCTTGATGCTACTCTCTCCACACATAACCTGCTTCGTAATAACTGTGTGGTGATAGACAACTGTTGGTCCATATATTATATATAATACAATTTGATGTTTAGGAAATGAGTGCTTAATTAGTGAAAGACATGGTTGGTAAGTGACGAGAGTGGACAGAGGGTGTGCGGCACGTGTCTTGTGGCATTTGGTCTCTCAAGAGGCTACATCCGTAACGGGGCCAGTTTCCAGTGCAGTGGTGACTACCTCGCTGACAGCTACACCAGCCGCCCTCAGCGGCAGTACTGACCCCTCGCCGCGACGGCAGTTATATACATAATCCACAGGCACAATGATGTACAGGTGGGAGGTGGTGTTGATGGCGGTGGTGTGTACTCTGGGGCTGCCGGCGACCGTCCTCCCCAGTGACCTAAAGTCAAAATTTTGCTCCCAGACAAACCAGGATCTTAGATGTGTCTTCAGAAACACCAGTGAGGTATGAAGACCTGCGTGTTTACTGTGTTTGTCTATAGTGCTATACTGCCATGCTATGGCTTAACAACGTTTTCTCTTGATATTTACTTATGATATAATTGTATTTATTGAAATCAACTGGAATGCTGACAAAGAAAAACAAGTTCAATGCATTCCATATATCCAACTGAACATCCGTGGCAACAAAATGCCATTATGAGCAATATTTTGTGATGTGTTCTTCATTGCCAGTCAGGTCAAGGTCAGCCTCCCTGGGTGTGAGTAGCAGTAAGAGGGCTGGGTAGGGAGAACTCAATTGTTTCAAGTCAAATTTGTGCTATATCAAATGCTACCGTACTCCTTGTTCAGCCTTGACGAGTGGACAAACGTTTGGGCGTCTCTGTACACTTAGCGCCTGGGGGTCACAGGAAAGTTAATAGATATTTTGTTCATTTTCCGGTTGGGCACCGGCTTGGCCAAGAGGTGGTCTTGGAGGGGTTCCTGGTCGGCCCTCGGGTCGTCGTGATGGACGTCTGGCTCCTGCTCCGCCAGAGATCACTGGAGACGTTTTTACGTTTTTGACCAAATGCCGAATTTGGAAGGAAACATCGCGATTCTGCCGTTTGGCCACGACTGTTCGAGTTCCCACAGTGCACAAGACGCCTTATCGTCTAAGGTCACCAGGGTGTCGATAGTATGCCATGCTGATTATCTGTGTTCATTGGAGTCCGGCTCTCGTCTCTCAGGGGGTGGGGGGACTCTGGGAGTCACTAAACATGTGCCTAATAGTGTGTTTAGCCACTGCAAGGCATAATAATTTTTCGGCGACAGGCGACGTTTCTATAGGCGCAAGCCACTGGTCTTAACCTACAAAGGAACGCTGGGGCGCATCCGGCACTGTTGTCGTCGTGTCAACACGACATACTTTTTATGTGCGTGGCATGTTATGAATATTTGTTTGTTAATATTTCCATTATAAATTAACTAAGGTTTTATTAATTGTACTTATTTAAAGAACATATTTTTATTATGAACTTTACAATGGTGAAAGGTCCCTCCTCAATTTGTCCTGATGATTTTATCGAGACGGATTTTAAAATTCAGCCGTGTTTTGGCATTTGGTAGGCTGTTCCATGGGTATATATATATATATATATATATATATATATATATATATATATATATATATATATATATATATATATATATATATATATATATATATTAGTATATTTTGGTAGCAGTCTTTCCTGTAGACATATTTTATTAAATATGACCGAAAAAGTAAGATTAATAATTCTAACACGAATTTTCTCAATCTTTCGTACATTATGCTTCACTGTTGGAGGTAAATCAAAAATCACTTCTCCAAAATTCATTTTTATTTCTAGTCTGACGCGACACGGGCGCGTTTCGTAAAACTTATTACATTTTCAAAGACTTCACAAATACACAACTGATTAGAACTTGCGTTTCCCTGATTTTATATCTACATTTGAGTGAGGTGGGAAGGGTGATGTGGCATTACATTTGAGTGAGGTGGGAAGGATGATGTGGCATTAGAGGATATTAATAGGGTATTAAAAGTATCAACACAAGACAGAACACGAAACAATGGATATTGAATAGAAGTGTTTGTAGAAAGCCTATTGGTCCATATTTCTTGATGCTTCTATATTGGAGCGGAGTCTTGAGGTGGGTAGAATATAGTTGTGCAATAATTGGCTGTTGATTGCTGGTGTTGACTTCTTGATGTGTAGTGCCTCGCAAACGTCAAGCCGCCTGCTATCGCTGTATCTATCGATGATTTCTGTGTTGTTTACTAGGATTTCTCTGGCGATGGTTTGGTTATGGGAAGAGATTATATGTTCCTTAATGGAGCCCTGTTGTTTATGCATCGTTAAACGCCTAGAAAGAGATGTTGTTGTCTTGCCTATATACTGGGTTTTTTGGAGCTTACAGTCCCCAAGTGGGCATTTGAAGGCATAGACGACGTTAGTCTCTTTTAAAGCGTTCTGTTTCGTGTCTGGAGAGTTTCTCATGAGTAGGCTGGCCGTTTTTCTGGTTTTATAGTAAATCGTCAGTTGTATCCTCTGATTTTTGTCTGTAGGGATAACGTTTCTATTAACAATATCTTTCAGGACCCTTTCCTCTGTTTTATGAGCTGTGGAAAAGAAGTTCCTGTAAAATAGTCTAATAGGGGGTATAGGTGTTGTGTTAGTTGTCTCTTCGGAGGTTGCATGGCTTTTCACTTTCCTTCTTATGATGTCTTCGATGAAACCATTGGAGAAGCCGTTATTGACTAGAACCTGCCTTACCCTACAGAGTTCTTCGTCGACTTGCTTCCATTCTGAGCTGTGGCTGAGAGCACGGTCGACGTATGCGTTAACAACACTCCTCTTGTACCTGTCAGGGCAGTCGCTGTTGGCATTTAGGCACATTCCTATGTTTGTTTCCTTTGTGTAGACTGCAGTGTGGAAACCTCCGCCCTTTTCCATGACTGTTACATCTAGAAAAGGCAGCTTCCCATCCTTTTCCGTCTCGTAAGTGAAACGCAGCACGGAACTCTGCTCAAATGCCTCCTTCAGCTCCTGCAGATGTCTGACATCAGGTACCTGTGTAAAAATGTCGTCAACATACCTGCAGTATATGGCCGGTTTCAAGTTCATGTCGACTAAGACTTTTTGCTCGATGGTACCCATGTAGAAGTTTGCAAACAGGACACCTAGGGGAGAACCCATAGCGACCCCATCTACGTGCTTAAGCAAGTAGATGGGGTCGCTATGGGTTCTCCCCTAGGTGTCCTGGTTGCAAACTTCTACATGGGTACCATCGAGCAAAAAGTCTTAGTCGACATGAACTTGAAACCGGCCATATACTGCAGGTATGTTGACGACATTTTTACACAGGTACCTGATGTCAGACATCTGCAGGAGCTGAAGGAGGCATTTGAGCAGAGTTCCGTGCTGCGTTTCACTTACGAGACGGAAAAGGATGGGAAGCTGCCTTTTCTAGATGTAACAGTCATGGAAAAGGGCGGAGGTTTCCACACTGCAGTCTACACAAAGGAAACAAACATAGGAATGTGCCTAAATGCCAACAGCGACTGCCCTGACAGGTACAAGAGGAGTGTTGTTAACGCATACGTCGACCGTGCTCTCAGCCACAGCTCAGAATGGAAGCAAGTCGACGAAGAACTCTGTAGGGTAAGGCAGGTTCTAGTCAATAACGGCTTCTCCAATGGTTTCATCGAAGACATCATAAGAAGGAAAGTGAAAAGCCATGCAACCTCCGAAGAGACAACTAACACAACACCTATACCCCCTATTAGACTATTTTACAGGAACTTCTTTTCCACAGCTCATAAAACAGAGGAAAGGGTCCTGAAAGATATTGTTAATAGAAACGTTATCCCTACAGACAAAAATCAGAGGATACAACTGACGATTTACTATAAAACCAGAAAAACGGCCAGCCTACTCATGAGAAACTCTCCAGACACGAAACAGAACGCTTTAAAAGAGACTAACGTCGTCTATGCCTTCAAATGCCCACTTGGGGACTGTAAGCTCCAAAAAACCCAGTATATAGGCAAGACAACAACATCTCTTTCTAGGCGTTTAACGATGCATAAACAACAGGGCTCCATTAAGGAACATATAATCTCTTCCCATAACCAAACCATCGCCAGAGAAATCCTAGTAAACAACACAGAAATCATCGATAGATACAGCGATAGCAGGCGGCTTGACGTTTGCGAGGCACTACACATCAAGAAGTCAACACCAGCAATCAACAGCCAATTATTGCACAACTATATTCTACCCACCTCAAGACTCCGCTCCAATATAGAAGCATCAAGAAATATGGACCAATAGGCTTTCTACAAACACTTCTATTCAATATCCATTGTTTCGTGTTCTGTCTTGTGTTGATACTTTTAATACCCTATTAATATCCTCTAATGCCACATCATCCTTCCCACCTCACTCAAATGTAATGCCACATCACCCTTCCCACCTCACTCAAATGTAGATATAAAATCAGGGAAACGCAAGTTCTAATCAGTTGTGTATTTGTGAAGTCTTTGAAAATGTAATAAGTTTTACGAAACGCGCCCGTGTCGCGTCAGACTAGAAATAAAAATGAATTTTGGAGAAGTGATTTTTGATTTACCTCCAACAGTGAAGCATAATGTACGAAAGATTGAGAAAATTCGTGTTAGAATTATTAATCTTACTTTTTCGGTCATATTTAATAAAATATATATATATATATATATATATATATATATATATATATATATATATATATATATATATATATATATATATATATATATATATATATATATATATATATATATATATATATATATATATATCTATCTCCTTTATGGGTGAAAAAATATCTCCTATTTTCTGTCATACATTGTGACTTGCTGAGCTTGAAACTGTTGCTCTTTGTTTGTGTTACATCCTGACCTTTTAAAAAAGCTGTTTTGATAAATATCCTCCAAATTATTCAGTATTTTAAAAGTTTCCATGAGATCAGCCCTGTCATGTCAAGTTTGCAGTGTTGTTAGCCCTTTGGCCCTCAACCATTCCTGGTATGAGAGTCGAGAGAGTGTTTAGGAAGGATTTTTGTCGCCCGATGTTGAACTTTCTCCAAAGCAGATATGCCATTCTGAAGATGAGGTCTTCATGCTTGGATACAATACTCCAAGCACCCGAGATTTATACAGTTAAATAACTACCTTCTTTTCCTTGAGGTCAAAGTTTCGTGTAGCTATTTCTATTTTTTTATAGCAGCTCCCACTTGTGCAATTTTCAGAGACTGATGGATAGAAACTCCAAAGTTCTTTTCTTCATCAATCTGTTGCAAGACAATTGTACTTGCTGGTGTGTGTTCACAAGTGAACAAGCACCTTGAAAGCTTACGAACAAATGAATTATGTATGAGAAAATATGTACACTTTTCATTTAGTATATTAATCAAAAATTTATGAGTAGTTCTAAACATGCATTAACGTGCATTTCCTTGTTGCAGAATGTAGACCTGGCGGTGCTGTGGCCCGGGGTGAGGAAGATGCAAGTGGAGGTGACGGAATCGCTGTACGGGTCCGTTCCCTGTGGCGCCACCCTCGAAGTCTGGTCCTCCTCCAACGTCACACTTCAGGGACACGCCACAGGCCACGCTCATAACAAGACTCCCGAGTCTCACCAAGGGACGGCATTTAACGGACGTGAGACTGGAAGAGGTGGTCTTCTGTCTCGTAGCAGTAGTGCTCTAACTCGTAGTAATAAACTTCCACTTAGTAACAGTAGTCCTCCAACTCCTAGCAGTGGTTCTGCAACTCATAACAGTGGTCTTCCAACTCGTAACAGTGGTCCTCCAACTCATAATAGCAGTCCTCCAACTCGTAACAGTGGTTTTCCAACAAGTAATAGTGGTCCTCAAACTAGAAAAAGTGGTCTTCCAACTGGTAACAGTGGTCCTCCAACTCGCAACACTGGTCCTCCAACTCGCAACACTGGTCCTCCAACTCGCAACACTGGTCCTCAAACTCGCAACACTGGTCCTCCAACTCGCAACACTGGTCACCTACCTGGTAGCAGAGGGTCACTAGGTGTAGCGCCGCACTTCTCAACCACTCACTATGAGAGAGAGGAGAGTGTTCCTTACGGTGCAGGAGAAGCCCGGTGCTCCTCGAACGTGTCCATTACTCAGGCCAGAGTCCACAGTCTACTGGGAGAGTTTGACGTATCCAGACTCTATTACTGCAATGTGGACGAGCTTGATGGTCAGTTTGGTTTATTAAATATTCGCAAGTCGGATGTATCTAACTTTTCTGCTTCTGGACGCCAAGCGTATATTGAGGATTCCACAATGCTGGTTGTGTCCAGCCTGGCAATGAATCACCTGCAGCTCAATCATGTTAAAATAGGGCGTTTGGTTTCACCTGGATTAGTTCAACAGACAACAGGTAGTGAAGTTGTCAGTAATCTGTCTGAAGTGACTGCAGACATCATAGAAACTGGAGCAATACTGGTTGTGAGCGGACAGTTGACCATCACTAACATGACTGTGAACGAGATGCAGTCAGCAGCGATCACAGTAGGCAGCGGGGGAGTCCTTACCTTGACAAATTTTCATGTCCGTCAAGGCCCACAAACAATGCTTGTTCTGCATGGTGAAGGAAAAGTAGCCATTACCAACTTTACCCTTGGTAATGATACCATCATCCATCTTGAGTTAACGAGTAGAAGCAATCAGAAAACCCTTTATCCATTACACATCATGCGGCCAGCTGAAGTCTCCAATACGTCCAAAATTGGGGGATTCACTGGGACCTCACACCAGGTCGAAAAGACTCCCGTCAAAAATCTCGTGGGGTTCTCTTGGTACTGGGTGATGATCATGACTGTCGCCGGTGTGTTTGCTGGCATGATTATTGGCACTGCCATCATGTGGCGGAGGCCTACCATAAGCAAGTGCCCACCGTCTGCACTGACATTGTCGGACCTGATAGCTCAGGACAGACTAGACAGCGAGGACCACGCTCCGGACACACCCCAGAGGCCTGAACTCTCCCGACAAGACTCAGGGTTGACTTCGTCATCGTTCGCATCGTTCACACCATGCCAGGAGAGGTCCCGTCTCTCCTCCCTCAGCATGAGGCAGCAACAGGACCCAGATGTCTGCCTCTCGACCTCAACCGAACCCAACATCTACGTGCACGTTCCGGCTCTTGCCTGCACTCGCGAGGACGTCATCTACGAGGAGGTGGAGACCCTTGGCGTGCCCAAGGTGGACCCTACATACCTCATCATGAACTGATCTTCACATGAGACAGTATGTTTTTCAGATCGAACTCACTCATGTGGTGCTGTCCTTGTGGCTATTTATGCCTTGTGCAGTGCCTCATATGCTAAGAAGTGTGGTGACATCAAATCACCATCCAGAGCACGGGTCAGGAACCATGCCCTGTAGTGGGATACGCTTTCTGTTGCCCTGCCAATTTTGCTACTGCTGCCGCCGCCATGACGAGGGAAGGGTTCACTTACACTGACAAGGGAAGGATCTCGCCCTCTTTTGTGTGTCCCTGCCTATAACTCATGAAGGGTGCTAGTCCCTGACGTGTGAAACGGAAGTATATAGAGGGAGTCGTCATTTCATTAACTGTTCGTAGTAATTCCGGTGGAGCAATGTACGCTATCCAAGAGCTCCCATATTTTCTCCAGCGGCGAAAGAGGAGGAATACATCGTTGACTCATCTGGCCTTTCCTGTCTGGGAATATGGTGGTGGCGGACGTCCACCCGCACCCAGCCCTCGGTCCTTGCTCTATCCTCACTATCATCACCACCACCACCACTCATTCAACCACTATTGTCACCAGGATCACTGCTACCACTATCGCTTCTACCATCTACCTCACAAGACTGTAATATGACTCCAAAAGAGACTAATCCAATTAGTTCTGTACATACATGTAGCTGCCTGTAGAATCCTCTCGCCTCATAAAATATCTTAATATCCTCTTGTCTTAAAATATATGCAAAAATTGACGAAATATTGTTTATGTTCTCTTGAGTTTATTTTATACACAACAATACATAGACGTAATGGACATGTTAGATAATGGAATTTGGTACTATTCTCTTTATAAAGTCCGAACAAAATATAGGTAAAAACCAAACTTATATGTTCTTAGGTCAAATATAGCACAAATATGTATTATATTAGGCCTCAGATAGCGTGCATTAGGCCTAGGAAACATAGCCGTACTAATTAAAAACAAAACTATGGAAACCCTCATTATGGGGGGATTCCCATCACAAGCCACTGGCATCCTGCCTCTGCCAAGGTCATTAGAGACGGGTCCCCCAGAAAATATATTTGTACGCGATATACATATTTTAAATTAATAGGCCTAAGTATACATACCAATGTGCTGCTACCATATTCTATATGACGGATTACAGAGTGTAGATCAAAGGCTAGTTGTGAGTTCATCTAATATCCCCATCTCACAGGATGGTTAGTCAAACGGGGAATCAGGAGACAGCATGAGAAGCGAGTCTAATCTATTAGGCTTCTCTAGCAAACTCTGGGTAGCCTAATATCAAATTCAAGATGCAGTACCATATCAATAAGTAAAATTAAATATTGTACTGAGTTTTGTTCGGTAAATTTTAAGTGGTGTCGATACTTTATACATTAACAATTAAGATATATATTTTTAGATTACTGTGTATAGCTATGTAACTGTAAAGAATTTCTGAGTTGTATTTGAGAAAATTATTTGTTTTTTAAGGAGACAAATTGGACGATGATTAAATAATGCTTATTACATAACACAGCATTTCTTATTGCGCACAGGCAAGCGCTTTCAGTATAACCCATTAGTCAAGAGGTTCGATTTCTGAGTAGTGGACGGGGGAGACATCTCCCGTCACGCAGGGTGCAGTCGTACCTCCACAAAAAGACCACCACTTACGGGCTATTCATGCCCATGCCACCTTTTGGGTGGCTTAATCTTCATCAATCAATCAATCTGAGTAGTGAGTGATGTTTGGGCACCTTTCCTTACACCTGCCTGTGTTCACCTAGCAGCAAATATGTACCCAGGAGTTAGGCAACTGTTGTGGATTGTATAACCTGGGAAGGTTAAGTTATTGGCCTAGGCCTTAGGGGGTCCTCGGTAAGCCTAACAGGCTTCTTAGTGTCCCTGATAATGAAAAATCTAATTCCATGACAGGTCTATGTGTAGGCCTATATTTTTCTGGCGAGTCGTTATTCGTCTTCGCAAACACAGAAAAATGAGGCGGAGTAGCAAGAACACAGCCGGTGTTCTTGCTGGCGAAGTTGTCTGCCAACGAGGCTGGGTTGGCGGCGCCATCTAGGACGAGCTGGCGTGTCTAGGAGTGAGGGTCGGTCAGATTTGCAATGTTAGGCTGAGAGCAGAATAGCTACGCACTTTCTTGAAAAGTTTCTGATTTTCTTTCATATTGAGTAATGATTTAATTATAATTTTAGAGGAACGGAGTTAAGTCAGCAGAGAGGACACAATGAACGGTCTTAATCAGACAGACCTCAGCGAATATCTTACATAAAATTTTACAGTATATTTACACACCTTATAATTAATTATGATTATAGCTAGTAACAAACGCCTTCCATTGCACCTGTTAAATAAATATATTATTATACTTTGGAGGTGTTTTTTGTTAATACTTAATCATTTTCAACGTGGGGTAAAACCGTGTAATAGAGGTTGGTGTTTATGATTGCACAGCTTATTCTTTTATCATATAAATTAAATGTATCTACTAGAAGCCAAATATGAACACAGTGCGTTTTTGGCGCGTCTAGTCATATCCTGTGAGCGTGGCGCACTACGGCTGACGTCAGGAGTGATGGAATGGTGTCGGCACCGAGGTGGCGAAGCTGTGTACTCACCTAGTTGTACTTACTGGGGTTGTGCTTTGGCACTTTAGTCCCGCCTCTCAACCGTCAACTGGTGTAGATATGATAGAGCCTACTGGGCTCTATCATATCTACATTTGAAACTGTGTATGGAGTCAGCCTCCACCACATCACTGCCTAATGCATTCCACCTGTTAACTACTCTGACACTGAAAAAAGTTCTCTCTAATGTCCCTGTGGCTCATTTGGGTACTCAGCTTCTACCTGTGTCCCCTTGTGCGTGTACCACCCGTGTTAAATAATCCATCCTTGTCTACCCTGTCAGTTCCCCTGAGAATTTTGTATGTGGTGATCATGTCTCCCCTAGCTCTTCTGTCTTCCAGCTACAGGGGCTGGTCTGGGGACTACAAGGGACTGGCTCCATGCAAGGGGGGGTTTTCTGCGGGAAAGCGGACGAAGCTGCGCTAGGATCGTTAACCAGATTGGTATATAAGGCTGGCCAGGGTTTTAGAGGAGCTAGGCTAATGCCATGAGAGGCTAGCCTCTGCTCTAAAGGAGGCAGTTGCTATAGTGTTGTCGGTTCATAGACGACTGGTCCATGGTTTAATTACCCGGCAGGGCAAGCAATTTGGCCACGTTTCCTTACACCCAATCTGTCTATATATGTATGAACACGTTGTACTGAACGGGGTGAGAATAGCTTGAGCTACCTCATCCCTTTGTGTGTATTTTACCTCAATAAACTTATTTCAAATTCAATTCAATTTCTTACACCCGATGCTTCTATTCATAACAGTAAATAGATACCTGCTTCTGCAGCTGTTGTGGGTTACATCCTGGAAATGGTCAATGTTTTGTGAGACCTATCTTGATAAGCCTATCAAGCTTCCTCTCCACAATATGGTACCAAATCGCAGGAGACACACGCTTTCAACTTCCATAATTTATGCTCTTAAGAAATAAATGATGCGTTTCAATTTAGCATGATCGAGTACTCTCATCCAGGGTTTGTTTTGCACTTGTGGAGTTCATGTAGACCTCTTTGTAAGGCTTCAATATAATTATCATTTCCCACTTTACCATAAATCTTTGTGTCGTCTGCAAATGTTATGATGATGTTTATAATATTTGTATATGTCAAAAAAGGGTAGGTCCCAAAATGGACCCTTGTGGCATCCCACTTATCATATTTCTCCGCTCTTGTGCGAATCAAATTAGATCTCTTGGAGAAGTGATCATGAGTCACGCTATATAACCTGGTTTGGTATCTTAAATATACAACTTATAAGACTACGCTCACTTATAGTCCCGTCGTGCTTTAGAGGTCATGTCAGCCATGCAACTCTCAACTTGTACTAAAGTGTAGACAATTGTACTTTTTCACTCTAATATTTGTCTTCTGATCTTTATTTCTCTTACAATTTCAAACTCATCTACCCACCGAGGTTGCAAAGGTCAAGACTGTATTAAAATTCAAAACATTTCTCGATAAAGCTGAGAAAAATGTTGGGGCCTTCCTCAAGGCCCTTATCACCTTCTCGTGGTGCTCAACCCGAACTCAGCTGAGGGAGGTACCAGGCAGCTGGGAGGTACCAGCCAGCAGGGAAGTACTAGCCAGCAGGGAAGTACTAGCCAGTAGGGAAGTACCAACCAGAAGGGAGGTACCAGTTAGCAGGGAACTACCAACCAGCAGGGAGGTACCAGTTAGCAGGGAACTACCAACCAGCAGGGAACTACCAACCAGCAGGGAGGTACCAGCTATCAGGGAAGTACCAGCTAGCATGGAAGCACCAACCAGCAGGGAGGTACCAGCCAGCAGGGAAGTAAGAGCCACAAGGGAGGTACCGGCCAGCAGGGAGGTACCAACCAGCAGGGAGGTACCAGCCAGCAGGGAAGTACCAACCAGCAGGGAGGTACCAGCCAGCAGGGAAGTACCAGAGTCGAATTAAATCTGTGTAAACACTCTACGCAAATAAAGGGACCTAGTCTATGGAACTTACTCCCGAACGAATTAAAAAGCTGTCCAACTCACCCCATTATTTAAAAGTAACACCAAAAAAGTACCTAATTTCAGCCTCTTGGTGTTCTACCTAGTGCTTCATGCTCCCCCAAAATGGACCTAAGCCATTTAACTTTACCGTTGTACTCATTGCCATTATCTTGTATCTAGAAATAATCCTCAAATTATGCTACAATGTACCTGTCGATAATCCTCAAATTTTGTTATAATGTATTTACTAATTTTCTTATAATGTACCTGTTAACTTTTTTTCAATTTTGCTACAAATTACCTACTTAAAATTATCTGATAGATTAAGGACCTGCCCGAAACGCTATGCGTGCTAGTGGTTTTACAAGAATGTAAAAACATCAATGCTATGTACTCTAATAAATCCAATGTACCTTGTTGTATATAAATAAATAAATAAATAAAAGTTACTATTTTAATAGTCTATAGATTATAATAGATATGGCTCAAGTTGGGTTTTCTCGAGCTGCAAGGAAGTGATTTAAAGAAAACATATCTTTAAAAGGTCCAGGAGTGTCTTATCTATTTTATTAATAAAATCCATAATATCAGGTTCATTAATTAAATTTAAAATAAAAATAATGATAAAATAAGAGTTTTATAATCATTGTTTGTTTGATGTGTATATTCTGAGACGATAATAAGTTGATAATTAACATCAAGAAGTTTCATGCCACCGAGATAAGCGATGAATTATAATTTGTTGTGTACGGATGACCTAAACAGATTTATTATAGCCGATATGGTGATTTAGGGCCTGCGTCTCAAACCATATTAATAACTACGAAAAAACTCCATATAATATAAAATTCATATTACAGTTGATAGGATTTGAGCTATAGTTTTTTGATTTGTGACTTGTCGAAAACGTTTACACATTAAAAAAATAAGATAATACATTGTATTTTAACGAGAAAATAGCACACGAGTGATATTGTGCTCCGGTGTCTCATGAGGAAAGTTAGTTTAGTTCATTTATTATGCACCCCATACCCATCTTGTGGGCGGTAGTGGCAAGGATTACAGAGGCACATAATGGGCTCAGGGACTGAACCCCACAATTCATTTAGTTAAGCAAGTTACAATCTTGATGAACTAGTTACAAAATTCAGTATAAGTCGTCACATCAACAATGAGGAAATAAACAAAGCAATATAAAAAAAATATCTTTGCATAAATTTGTTTACATCCGTCGTCTGCTTGTTTGTACATTTCACAGAAACTTCTAAATTGATACCAATACTTTGTAAAGGAATATAAATCACCATCAACCTCGATTGAGCTCTCTATTAGAAATTGTGAAAAGCGAGCGTCACAAATTGACTATACAAAGATGTTTTCTATTTTTGGTCGAGGTCCAATAAATTAGTTGTCGCTAAGAAGTGTTGACAGATGGGAGTTGTTGATGACGTTTGGTGTGTTGTGACTCGAAACTTTGATGACTGACATCTCTCGTCCCCTGACACCAGCATGGAACTCATTAAAACACCAAAGGTAATGCATCTGGAGAGGTTATACGAGCGGTGATATGTGCATTGTGGTCTATGGTGACCCCGGGTCACCCGATCGGCCCCTCGGGGTCATGACCCCCTGCCTTGACTCCATCAGGTCAAGTTAGTCAAACAAGTACACTTGCTCGCATATATATATATATATACATTTTGTGTAATTCGTCATATAAATGTGCAGTGTGATGTTAAGGACACATTCCGTTGTGTGTGTGAATCTGCTGTTTGGCAGCATCTTATTACTACCTGTTAATAATAATTTATTTAGGAAAAGTACATACATAGTTGCAGCGTTACAGTACAAACATTCTGTTAGATTTAAAGATAGAGGTAGTACATACAATACCTAAAGCCACTAGTACGCATAGCATTTCGGGCAAGGGAGCTGTTGGTGCTGAAGTTATTATTAAGTCTGCTCACCTCTGCTGTAATTAGTCTGGTAACATGTGCGACATATTTTGAGGCAGGATATATTATTTAAGGGATTAATGCTTGTGGTAAAATTAATAAGAATAGTTAAGGTAAAGATAAGTGAGGGACATAGAGATTGAGAGTGGTCTGGGTAATTGACAGCTGGAGAATGGTAACAGTAGACTGTGATGGTAATCAGAATAAGAAGTGAGCCTTGATTAACTATTTCATATAATTTGCCATTGAAGTATTCTTCCTATCTTTTATTTTCTGGCAATTTAGGAATTTAATACCTAGGGTTAAATGTATTGTTCATTGCTGTTATATAAAATTAATAACACAAAACCTTATTTTCTCTTAAGGTGAGCACAATAGTGGTGGCAGTTCAGCCACCAGTACTCTGCTGAACCTAAGCGAACTAAACTTATTCCTAACCCAATTTATTTCTTTGTAATATATCTAGGCTTAGCCAAACCAGATAGTTCTGTTGCTGTAGTCAGTGGTGCAGCTATTGCTCTATTCAATGATGTGGATATTGCAATAGTCACAATACTATATTATCATTGCTATTCTGTAGCCAGTAATTCTGGATTGTCATTGGTTAAGCCATTAGTGTAGGCCTAATTAATGGTGGTGAAACCATCTAGCTGTGGCACATTCATCCTTAGACAGAACTACACTTCAAAATTTCAGGAATTATTAAAGTTGGCTATAATAATTTGACCAAACCACACACAAGAAAATGAAGGGACGACGACGTTTCGGTTCATCCTGGATCATTCTCAAGTCGATTGTGCTATTCCTAGACCATTCTCAAGTTGGCTATAATAACATGTGCAG